TCTTTAGCTGTCCCATAGAGGAGGATCAAAGTTGGCACCTAGATTCAGGCTGATTATAAATCAGACCCTCAGGCAACAGCTTTTATTATTATTATTATTTTTTTTTAAATTTTATTTCTAGGAGAGAGAGAGAGAGAGAGACAGCGTGAGCAGGGTAGGGTCAGAGAGAGAGGGAGTCACAGACTGAAACAGGCTTCAGGCTCTGAGCTGGCAGTCAGCACAGAGCCTGACGCAGGGCTTGAACCCACGAACCGCGAGATCATGACCTAAGCGAAAGTCGGACGCTTAACTGACTAAGCCACCCAGGCGCCCCATCAGCTTTTAAAGTATACAAATGTATACAGTCCTGTAGGACTGCAAACATCAGGTCCTGCCAACTACCAAAGCAAGACACCTTGGAAATGTCCTGAGAGTCAGTCACAAAAATTGAGGTGCCAGGCAACTATCTGAGCTCCTTTCTGGGAGATAGCAGTGAACTGAAGCAAGGCAGATGGAGGGCACAGGATGGCATCTACCAACTTACGACTAAGTACAGCATCTTAGTAAGTCTCTAGATGTATGTCAAACCAAAAACCTGCCCTTGGGCCAAAGCTCCAGGACAAGCAAATAGTCCTTTATCACAGAAAGACTGGGGGTGTGTTTCAGTGTTGGGGGTGTGTATTGTGCCCTGGGGTTTTTAGCGGGCCAGAGACCACCTGCCATTTGTTACAGTCGTATGGAATACAGGAATGCAGACCTTCCTGGCCACCAGCGCTGAGCAGTTAAGGGGCATCCCTGAGGCAGTAGCCGCAAAAAAGGCAGCAGACATAAAAATGGGGCCACCAGACGTTATACAAGCCCCGCTCTGGGAGATACTGGTGCTCGGAAACATAGCAGAGGGAGAACAGAAAGATAGCCCTCTGAGGTCTCTGGAAAGGTTTGCAGTTGGCCCTTAGATGTGTGTGTGATTACAAGTCTGTCCCTCAGATGTAGCCGTGGAGAGTGGCTAATAGGCCTCTTTCACAGAGACTGGGCTCCTTTTGCTGTGCACTGGAAATGGTAGACAGTTAAAAAGGGTTTCTCTGTTGGTGACACAGTCCTGTGTGACGCATTAGCCGGCCGGCCACCACAGCCAGGCCACCTAGAGATGTCACCCTGTAGCACCTGCGAAAAAGCAGGGCATCAGATGAGGGTCTGAATTGCTTTCTGGGAGATACGGACAAGCTGGAGTGAGGTGGAGAAAGAGGGCAAGCATGATGTCCACCAGCCTCCCTCCCCCGAGAGTCCCTCCGTGGGCCACTAGATGTGTGCCAGGCCCGAAGCCTGCCCCTCAGGCCAAAGCTCCCGGACCAGCAACGTGGTCCTTTATCACGGAAGAGATATTGCGGTGGCGTTAGCCGGCCATGCCCTGTCTCTCCAGGTGGTACAGTCTTGTGGGTCCCGGAATGTGGGCCCTGCTGGGCCCCAGAGCCAGGTGACCCCAGGGGTGTTCACACTGAGGCACCCGATATAAAACCAGGACCGTGTGCCTGTAACAGCTCCCCTCTGGGAGATACCCGTGCTCTGGAGGGCAGCAGAGGGAGGACATGGAGATGGTGTCTGCTGGGGGAAAGAAAGAAGGAGCCTAGATTAAAAAGAACTTTTTTTGAAGTGTCTACTGGCCTCCATCCTTGGAGAGCACCCCGGCAGGCCCCTCGATGTGTGCTAAATTAGATGCCTGCCTCTCAGGCTGATGCTTTAAGGTAAGTAAATAGGCCTCTTTCACGTAAAGTTTGGCCACGCCTGTACTGGGCCCTGGTGTCCTTCAAGAGCCATTTCTCAGTTTGCACGATAGCCTTTCGGGTCTCAGGAATGCAAACCCTGTTGGCTTTCAAAGCTGTAAGTTTCAGGGGCTTCCCTTTCAGGGGTAGGTCTTAGAAGTTGGGGTTCCCGATGTAGGGTTCAAACCCTTCACTCCTCATGGAGAAGCTCTGGATTTCAGATGCTGGAGGTGGGGTTTTCAGCAAGATTGCAAACTGCCTTTCCTACCCACTTCAGTGAAGGTGGTTTGCCCAGTGTTAGGAGTCTCTCAGCTTCTGTTTCCAGGGGAAATTGTTTATTTGTAGCTGTAGATCTGGTGTGTCCGGGAGGAGAAGAGTTCAGGATCTTGCTATGTCTCTATCTTGAACTAGCCTTACTCCTTTTTATGGCTAAATGATATTCCATTATGTGTAAATCCCACTTCTTGTGTATGCACTCATCTCTTGATGGATGTTTAGGTTGTTTCTACCTTTTGGCTGTTGCAATTAAGTGCTGCTGTGAACATTCATGTACAGGTATCTGAGTACCTATTTTTATGGTTTGGGGGTAAATATACATGTACTTGGGAGAATTGCTGTTTATATGGTAATTGTTTCTCTTATAGAGAAACTGCCAAACTGTTTCAACAGTGGGTGCGACATTTTACATTCCCACCAGCAGTGGGCAAGGGATTCAGTTTCTCCACATCCTTGCCAACACTTTTTTTTAAAAGTAAACTCCAAGCCCAGAGTGGGGCTTGAACTCATGACCCTGAGATCAAGAGTCACATGCTCTGCTGACTGAGCCAGCCAGGTGCCCTTCCTTTTTTTATTTATAGTTATCCTAGTGGATCTGAAGTGGTATTTCACTGTGGTTTTGATTTGCATTTCCCTAATGACTAATGTTGATATTTTTATACTCTTGTTGGCCATTTATATATCTTCTTTGAAGAACTGTCTATTTAAGTCAAGAAAATCAATTTTTACAGTGTTTAGATAGGACTTTTTGTAATTATAAATGCACCCGAAGTTTTACTGTACCCATAACTTTCAAGCAGATTCTGATAGGACTTTTAGAAAAAGTCTTTCAATTTTCATAAGCTTCACCCACATCACATGAAGGCAATGACTTAATATATAAGCTCCATTAAGGTGTGTTTTGCTATCACATTGGCACCTTTTTAGACCATTTTACCCCACTGGGTATCATTATTGGAGTTTCTGGTACTGATCGTTAGTAAGAACCTTTAGGTGGTGCTCTTTGATTAAAAACGTATATTCCTCAGCCAATTTAAATACAGTAGGACATCCTAGGCGGAAAAGTGGCTTTTTTAAAAGGGATTATCTCCCAGGTCTGCTCAGAAATTTTTCTCATACAATTTCTATTGCAGAGTCTAATCTGTTCCATCAACTTTTATCCCATTTCCAAAGATCCAGACATGAAGTTCTGCTCCAGAAGGAGACAGTCAATTGTGGGATAGGAAAATGGGGGGTCCTGATTTCGCACCATTTAAAGCACCCCTAGGCTGAGACTGTCATCATCTGCTGGCAGTTGTGCCTCACACAGAAGTCCCCCACCGACAGCTTTCTGCAGAGAACCTCCTTCTCTGTGGCACAGTCCCATTTCCTTAGCGGGGTCACAGCTTCCGGCACTGTCCGGGAGCTGCCTGCCTGTCCTGCAGCCGGCTGATCATACCCCGCCCTCCCAGACTGCAGCCTCAGGTCCCCCTTCTCGTCCCCACCTGCTCTCCTGCCCTTCAGCATCCTAATTCCCCTTTGATCATTTGCTCACTTCCTAGCCCCATAGGTGAAAAGTTACCTATGTTTTTATTCTGGTTTCAGAACCAAGGTCATTTTAAAAAATTGTGCTTCATCTAAGTATTCTAAGATGTACCCTCCCAGGACACAGTTGATCGTGCCAGCCCTAAATCTATACCGTTCACCTTTCAAGGCTAATGGCCTTTTCTCAGTCATTTCTCCCCCAGTACTCAATACCCCGCCCCTCTTATTTCTCACCACCAAAGCACCCGTTTCTTTAGAAACCTTGCAGACCTACATTCTTATGTCATATACCCTACTTGAAAGATGCTTTCCAAAGATTTTACGAAAGCATTTATTTATTAAACAAAAATATACATTAAATCTCAGATTTACAGAATATAGAAATAATTTATCCAAAGTAATTTGCATTTTACAATTGTTAATATTGCACCCAACAGTGTAAGTCTTTGACACATTTGCGTTGTCGACCTTTCCCACAATTCACAAAACAGGAGAGAAAACAGAATAATACAAGCAAACTTTTCTTTACCAAAAAAAGAAACAATTTACAGTTTATTTACAAGAGAAAGTTGTAAACTTCCAGAACTTTACTTCCATAGAAAAAAGAGGCATACATTCTTTTATCCTACCTAGAATGTGAACTATATACATGATGTGATTTCCTCATAGGAATTCAAAGGGACAGATAAATGTGGACATTCACAGCCTAATGGCAAAGAACAGAATTATTGAAAACACTTGTATATATCTTCACTGGAATATGGAAACTAGTGTGTGAAAAGCTTCTAGAAAAATAACTTTTGCCTCTTTGAGGATAGTTTCCTTAACTGCTTAAAATTATTTTCTATTTTAAAGGATACACTGTTAGAAATGTGGCTGCCAACAGCCTTTTTTCTATGAAGACAAGTGAAAAAGTGAGGTCTCTGTTCAAGTCCCTTATAAAACACGTGTAGGCAGGCACAAAGTTCGCTTTTCAAAAGAAAGCTTTACAAAATCACAATTTATCACTGATACCCTTGTTTTTAAGAACCTTTAAAAAAAAAAAGCCCATAAATATTTAAATGAAAGGAGGTAAGGAAGTGGCTAAAATAATATGCAGTAGTAAGAGTAAAGGTAGGTGATGCACACTTTTAACCTGGTAGTAAACTGAAGCAGACTGAAACCTTGTACTCATGAAATGTGAATTTTCCTTGATTGAACTCTTAATAGGAGAACATGAAACCGTGCAGCTCATTATCAACTCTCAAATGTCATTGGACCACTTAGCTTCCAGGTGATGAACATTCACGATTTTTCTGTCGTGGCCATTATAAATAAAAGATCTTCATTAACAAGGTACCCAATGGGGCAAAACAGTTACCTCTGGTTATGTATGTTGAAGGCCCCAGACAGGAATGAGCTAACTGTAATTTTACAATGCAGTACCATTTGCACTGAAATATTCTAATTCTCTTGTCCTAGGTGGCGACTGGATTACGACATCCCCTCTGAATCCTAACGAACCCAAGCCAGCTGAACAAGAGGACTTCCGAACAGGTATTCTTGGCTTCGCTATTGCAATAGTCCAGCCCAAGTACTCTGTTGCAAAGGTTGTGTCTTTAACACCCTCGTGACAAAGCCAGTTTAAAAAAAAAAAAAAAAAAAAGGCCTGAGAGTCTTTCATAAAAAAATAGACGTCTGTGCGCGCGTGCGTGATGGCCCCGCGGCAGCCGCGTCAGCTCTCCACGGTGCGCCGGTACTCCGCCGTGCCATCGGCGATGATCGCGTCTAGCGGGGAGCGCTTCTTCCGGATGCTGCGCCCGGAGGAGATGAGGTCCGCGTAGCCGCGCTGGTGCGAGAAGGCGTAGGCGGAGCGCCGCGAGGACACGCCCCGGCGGAACACCTGCTGCCGCCGCTTCCACTGCTCCTCGGCTTTCAAGCGCTTGCGGTGCTTCTGGATCTGTGGCGGGGAGAGGGGCGAGGCCCACAGTGAAGCGCGGTGGGTGGCGGGGGTGGGCCGGCACTGAGGTCCCCGGGGTGGGTTACCTACTCCAGGCCGACTTGTTTAAGGCGGCATCGCTGTCCTCCTTTTTGCAGGATAGGACGCGCCCAGAGGGTAGTAACACTTGCAAGGGCTCGGACCTTCTAGAAAATGGGGAGCCGAAGTTCCCGCTCGCCGCGCGCCACTGTTCTTTGCCACTGACAAATCAGACTGGGACAGGCCCAAGAGAAACTTCGGTCGTTCTCTTTCCCTTGTTGCTACCGCATCTTCTGGCCCAGAGAAAAGGGAGAAGGTCTAGGGGGCCCTGAAGGTTGCCTGCCTAGCATCTTCTCTCTCCTTGCTGTTGAAAACCGAGTAGAGCCAAGTACTCCTTTCCCGCATATAGCCACGCCGCTCCCAGGAGCAGGACTGAATTGACTTCCCTTGCCCCGCACGGTCCGGGAGCGGCCCTGTGACCTCTACTGGCTAAGGAGACCTGCGTGCGAGGCAGGGCCTGGGACCTCCCGTGCACAATCCCGGGCTCCTCAGGGAAAGCTACGGAGCAGCCTCCTGTATGCTTCTGGAGAGGGGTGTGTCAGGAGGAGCCGCCTGCAACTGTAGCCATCCCCCAACTTCAAGGTGAAGCTAGCTCCTAATGAGGAATGCAGAGGGGAGAGATGGAAAGCACCCCCGTGCTTTTGACAGACTTAGGTGCTCAGTCTCCAGAGCCTGAAGCCTGCTGATGATTATGTGAATCGAAGTGATACGTTATTTGAACAACTTGTAGCTCAGACGATTCCACCAGAAGAGGTGGCATTTTTCTAGAAAGAAAGGAAGGAAAGAAAAGAGCGAATCCCCAACCTATTTGCAGGGCAAAGTGTTAATACTGTAATTCTTAAGTTGAGGGGATAGATGCATGGGGGTTCCTTATATTATTCTCCCTTTGATAATGTTTAAAATAAAAAGCATGCAAACAAAAATCCCAGTCCCAAAAGACTTCTTTGCAAGACGGAGTTAAAGAGAAGTAGTATTGAAAAAACATCCATACCGAACTACCCACGAGTTTGAAATTTTGCAGGAAAGCTGCTGCGGGGACACAGTTTGATTTCTGTGAGGGGCACTCAGAATGAGGAGAATACTCTTTTTTCTGTACCTTGTCACTTTCTGATGGCCAGATGGTCATTGACAAGAAACGGACGGCGACCACGGGCAGTAAGCACACCGCGACGGTTAGGATGATGGTCAGCCAAATGTACGGCTGTCTCAAGGCGTTGGATGCTGTGCCTGCAAAAACGTGGGGGGTGAGTCACAAAGGTCCTTATCCGAAGAGCGCAGCTTTATTCCGTAACCCTTACGTGCGTTATCTGTGACAGAGTTTTACAGTCAGATTGGCCCCCCCCAGAACATTTGGTCACTGCTTAAAGGAATGAACATTTTAAAACAGGCTCAGCAGTGCAAAATTAGGAAGGCAAATGTACATCGATCAACAACTAAGGGGGAAAAAGTTACGTTTGTTGACATTCTATTAGGTAAAAATGGAAAATTAGGCCACCTCTACTTCTCAATTTTTCCAGGAATTTACATTCCAAAATTTATAGCTTGAAACTCCAGATAACAGTAACAATCAGGTCTTACACTAGGTGTTTTATTCGGGTCATGCCATTTAGTCAGACCTGAGGGGTGAATGGTAAGTTTCTCAAGTGGTGGAGAAGTGTAAAGGTTCGCCCAGGATAACAGAATTAGCTATGGCCACTTCTAAACAAAACCCCACAGCCGTCTGACCAGAGACATACTTTTTCAGCTGCTGGTTTATGTCAGAAAAAGTAACAATTCTATCACACAACCAGGTAATCATATATTTTACCCAATTTTAAAGCTGTAATTTTCCCCTAGAGCCAAATCTGGCACACTGTTTACTTACACTCTAGGTTTATAAAAATACTTTTTAAAAAAATGTGTTTTTATACTGTTAAATGTGTGTTTAAAAACACTCCCTTTGGGAATATTCTAAATAACAGGGCATTAAATTTTTTAAAACACAAAACAATGTCAACAGAAACAATCGTTAAAAAAAAATGAGCATAATCCCAAGAAGAGGGTTGCTATAGCAATGGTCTTTTTACAACTGGTCATTAAAAAAAACAAAAACAAAATACAAACTCATCTTTTACAGGGAAACTAGTTTATGGGGATTCTTTTTTCCATTGTGAACCCAAACTAGTATATTTAAACTAAGAAATTTATAAATTCCGACTCATGAAACTATAAATTTAGCAATTCACATTCATTCTATCATTTTCTTTTGTCCTGTTTTATACGGCTATAAAGTATTTAATTTCTGAGCTATTTCTGTAAGTTTACTTATTTGTATACAATTTTCTAATGATGTGACAGTTTTCCACTTTTGATTTCTAGAATTTCCTCATCTGCGATTCATAGCTTGATACTATTCTTATTAGGTCTTTGAATTATTTCCATTTTTTAAAAACAATTGAGATTGTGGTGGTGGTATAATCTTTGTACAAATTAGTCTTTCCAAAAATTGGTATGTTTTATCTTAAGGTGTTTTCTCCAAATGGAAATACTAGGTCAAAACGTACGAGATGTTTTATAGTCCATTATGTATTTCCAGATAGTGCTTTGAAGAAGTGAATGGTTTACGTGCATACTCAATTTCCCAGTAACCTGCCAATATTAGATTTTATTGGGGTGTGTGTGGCTAAAAACTAAATGAACAGATGCACAATTGTATCTTAAAACTTTTTCATTTTGCTTTCTTGCTGTCACATTACCACACTTCCAGTCCACCACTGTAATTCAGTTGCCAGCCAGGACACTCATTTTACTAGCAATAATTTATACTTTGGGCTCTACTTAGAAGTCATGTCAGAATCTAAACTAATAACATTTCTCTATACCTTTATTTTTGGAAGTTAGAAAATACCAACCTGTAAATTGAAATGCAGATGGAAAGAGAACATGTATCCCAGCGCTATGAAAGTCAAACATGATGCCAAAATAAAGTGCAATGCTTCCAAAAATTGAAAAAGCATTCACAAAGGTCCAGTAAGAAGTATCCAAGCCAATCTGTTGGGAAACCAGAGAAAAACCGAGCACTAATTTGGGGGAGTCACCAAGAAATAAAGGATCTAAGGATTCTGAAAACAATTTAGCAATTTAGGCATGATTTGAGTTGGAATACTAAACATCAGAAACTACCCGTGGCTCAGGTGACTTCGAAGTAGGAAATGTGCTTGGTGTAAGCGGTGACGACAGCATTCATATTTTGTAAAGTGGCAGAGGCACAGCCGGACATAGAGTGGCAGCCAGATGGCTGTGCCCACTGGTCTATGTACAGAAACACAGGTACCTAACAGATACAGGGAACACATGACCAAAGCCATGTACCTGGAAGTTGACTGTTATTATAAGGGCAGAAGCAATCGTCACAGCAAAAGATTGGTAGTCTGAAGGCGCCTCTCCATCCTGCCCCACAGTTTGCAGATAGGCTCCAAGAGGTATGAAGAAGAGGATCATCGATGTTAAAATTCCATGCACCAAGCTTACGAAGAATTTCTTGTAGTTGAATAGTAAGTCTCTCTGTCCTACTATGTACAGCCCAGGGAAGCGGAGGCTCAGTTTGTCACTCACATCCTTAAAGGGAAAACACAGTTAGCTGCGTACCCTCCAGGAATTAGCGAACTCAGAGATCCATTCCAGTTGATACCTCACACACACTTTCAACTTACTGAGTTTTAGGAAGGCAGAAACTCAACTAGATAAGTCCTGAATGGTTTCAGTGTGCAGAGGCCACAACCTCTTTACTTTAGTCCACCTTTACTTGATATTTAATTAAGATTAGGACTAGGTAGAAATATATTATTTTGCTGTCCACAGAAAGCAAATTAGTGATGTCAAAAAAAAAATGTAGGGAGGCTGTTTTTACCTCCTGGGAAAATAGATACCTATTAATTCTTTGGGAAAGTATTTTCACATACAAGTTGATGGGTTAATTCCAAATCATTCTTTTTATTCATTAAAGTACTTTCTCCAAGAATTGCTACTAGATAGAATGTGGACTAATTGGGGAATTAAACATACAAGTTTAGAGAAATATTAAAGTAACTGACTTTTAAAGTGAGTAAGTTATTACAGAGACATACTATACTGCCGGGTGTCTTAACAAGAAACTCTCAGTGTCCAAAAGGAAGATACTAAACTTTTCTATCAGTGAATTCAACCCAGGCACAGAAATCCTCGTTTCGTACTATAAAACGAGAAGCACAGGTCCTCTTGTTGCCTGGCAACAGGACAGCAATAGGGTTTTCTCAGGAAGAAGGGAAACCAAAAGAATGCATTGAGATATTTGGGTTTAACTTCTTGCACAGGTGCTCCGTCTGCCCTGACGTGTCCCTGCGAGCACGAGGTCCTACCTGGTCCAGCAGCCCCATGAGGAGCACGGGCAGGCTGGAGTAGAGCACGTTGTAGAGCGTGATGAACCAGTCCTCGTACGCCGTCTGCGGGGAGGGTACAGAGTCTCGTGTCACAGACCAAGACCTATGCCGGCCTCGTCAACGCGCGCTCATTCTGTCTCAAGCAGGGAGGCCCCCAGGATGCGTGGGGACTTCTGCCAGAGTAACCCCGCCCCCCACCTGCAGAAGGTGTGAGCTGGCTTCCGCGGAATGGGCAGAATCAGAGCGTTCCGCAGGACAGACCTTCCTTCTGAAATGAGTAGGAGAATATACACCAAAACATTTTTTGGAAAAGGAATCCATTCTATTTGAAGAATGCTGGAAAATACTTTGGTGCTGATCCTTTCTATATTCCTTTGTTAATGAATCAGAATACACGAGGTATCATTCAAGTGTTCTTTGACTTTGCAAGTCCAGCATTTCTATTTAAACATTTTGTGAAGCAGAATTTGAATATTAAAAATATGCTTCTGAAGGGCACCTGGTGGCTCAGTCGGATAAGCATCTGACTTCAGCTCAGGTCATGATCTCATGGTTCGTAAGTTTGAGCCCCACATCGGGCTGCGTGCTGATAGCCTAGACCTGGAGTCTGCTTCTGCGTCTCCCTCCCTCTCTGCCCCTCCCCTGCTTGCTCTCTCTCAAAAATAAACGTTTAAAAAAAATATGCTTCTGAAAATGATGCATAGGGTTGTGCACACACATCCTCAGGGTGGCAGAGAGGAAACGGGCCTACTTGTTACCACCACTTGTACCCAGTCACTGCTATCACTTGCTCAAGGTTGCTCCTGACCCTCGGTTTCCAAGGCTCCTCTGATACCATTTGCCTGAGGCACAGCATCGGAAGTTTGGACAACCACGGGCACTGACTTAGGTTCATTTTAACTGATGGTTGTTGTTTTTTTTTTTTTTTTTTTTTTTTGCCGTGTCACTGTTTTAACATATATGCACTGCACTCCCATTTCAGCAATAACTAAAAAATTTTAAAAAAAAATCAGAGAACAAATCTGTGATCATCCAGAATTTATATAACCCCTTTAGCCTTGATCACAATGTCATTGTTGATTTGCCATCAGAATTCATAGTTTAGTATTATTCTTTTTTTATTTATTTTGAGAGAAAGCAGGCAAGCAAGCAGAGGAGGGGCAGAGAGAAAGAGGGAGAGAGAATCCCAAGTGGGCTCTGCTCTGTCAGTGCAAAGCCTGACACCAGACTTGAACTCATAAACCGTGAGATCATGACCTGAACTGAAGCCAAGTGTCAGACATTTAACCAGTTGAGCCACCCAGGTGCCCTTTATCATTATTCTTAATGGCAAGGTAACTTTGGAAAAAGATCTAAGGTGAAGGCAAACACACATAAACAAAAGCCAGGAACAAATCCCAACTTTTCAAGGGTGAACTAAAGTATTTTTAAAGCACCAGAAACATTTTAGAAACGTCACCTGTAATCTCAATCTGTGCCTCAACAATTAAGAGAGCATCAAAGCTGTAGATATGGAGGGGAAATGTTTTTTTCAGGAGTTATTTATGTAAGAGTCCTATTTAATCAGATAATAACAATTATCCTATTACCTGTGCAGAGTACCCATTGAAGAAGGAGTACCAGAAATGAACCAAAGTAAATGCAAAGTTTTTATAAAAGAAGTATCGTAGGAACTTGCACATCCTTATGTAAGACCAGCGGCCGTGCACCAGCAGCAGTCTCTGCAAGTATCTGAACTGGGCGAAGGAGTAGTCACTCGACATGACCGCCTGCATGCCTTCTTGTCCACTTATTCCAACACCAATGTGGGCAGCTGTGGGGCGGAGGGAGAAGATGCGTGAATCATAAGCTAATTTTAAAGCAAAACATTGAGATGATAAAAATGTTTCCATAGCAAAACAAAGAAACAGACATTCATGGAATGAAAACCTTGCTCACCAGCCCCGCCTTAGCTTCTGAACTCAACTTTGTGCCAGAGATACAAGTTGCTAAAAAAAGAAAAAGCACGTGGTGGGGCCTCTAAAGAGTATTTGTGGAAGGATCTCAGATGGGTGGTAAATTCCATTTGGGTTACCTGCCCAGCTCATAAGCCATCCTTCTCACCCATGGAGGGCACCCAAGGAATCCCCACATACTGTGTGTCCCTGCCTCCCTGGAGTCAGCCCTGGGCTGGTGTGTCATGAGTAGCAGATACTACTAATGGGCTCTCCCAACCTTCATTCCACCCTTGTTCTATTGGAAAGGTGGGAAGGCAAATAAAAACCTAACACCGCTCTGACTGCCTTGCGGCACAGTTCTTTTTGTGAATTGGGTTCCATCGTTATGAGCCACCTGAAGTGGAAGTATAAGCCACCTGGAGCCCAGCAGCCCTTCCCTTTGTGGCATTTCTGCAGCAGAGTGCGCATCCTCTCTCCAGCTGCCTGGGGGTTGACAGGCAAAAGCTCTTCAGCTGAAAAGCCCTTCACAGAAGCCTCAAAGTTAGAAGCTCCTCTGGTGAGTGACTAAGACATTCGAGACTCAGCCCAGCACCCACTTCTTCAGTCCATCCAGAGCTTTTATGAGCACTTAGTGCCTTACGTTAATCACTTCCTGCTTAAAGTACCCAGTGGCATCTGTTTCTTATCCTATCCTTGACAGAAAACCCAAGCTGGACCAATCTGTTTCTCTTTCACATTTTGGTATTAAGATTTGGGTTTGTGTTTGTAATTTTAAACTTCTAAATTCTTGAGTTGTGGGACAGATATATTTATTTCCAGTGGGTTCTGAGGAGCAGAAGTAAAGTGGTCTAGGAGGAGGGATAAACTGAAGCTGGGTTCCAGGTTCCAGCATTTTCTCTAAAGTCTGGCTTCTTGGGAGGCATGAAACATCTTTAGATCTCTTACATTTTTTTTGTCTTAAGCTTATTTTAGCTGTTCTCTAATATTTGCAATCAAAAGCATTTTAACTAAGATACTATTAAACTTCCAGCATTTAGTCACGGCCCACCGTGACCTTAAGAGACACGTTTTTTTTTTTTTTTGCTGCAAAAGGTTTCCAGAATAAAAGTGAATGTGACGATTCTGTCCATCCTTCCAATAGTCATTTAGTACGGTTTTAACTTAGAGAATCACGAATTCCATGTAGGTCTTAAAAGGCATGGACTAAAGACACACTGAGATCTGTCAGAGAATGTGTGTTGGAGAACAAACCCATTATTACTCAGACCCAGAAAAGTGACTGCCAATTCAGCAGGGTTTCCAACTAAAAGCGGCTCTAGAAATCCTGCCGTAGTGGCAGAGAACGAGGTCTGGCAAATTCAAAGCGACACAGTGACTTGGCCAAACCTAAGTTTTCAGTAACACTTTGCGATCCTAAAAAACAGGATAAATTGCATGTCTCATTCAATATTTATGACTTCTTTTAAACACATAAATAATTCTCATGACTAGTCGTGGTGCCAAACTGCGCTTTCCTCCCAAACCATGAGCTCCTTTCCTGAACAAGCAACAAAGGGAAATGCTGACATTCTCTTGGAGCCAAGGAGAAGGGGCCCCTGCCACAGGCCCGGACGTCCAGCGCAGCCTGTTTGCTGAGCACACCAAGGACAGTATGTGAAAGAACACGGCCACAGTTCACAGGGGATGCATGGCAACCAAATAAATGTTCTTTCTAATACTATAATCTAATATAGATACCTAGCTTTTCCTGAAGCTTCAGAAATGTGGTTTCAGATGCCTCACTGGTAGGCTCCTTCATAGCTCCGTAACACACTCATCACTTCCTCAAGCCTTTGGGCCTCTGTCTCCCTTCTCGTGCTTCTTATTCATTCTTAGGGTCTTAGGCCAAGAAAAACACCAGCCACCAGCCAGCAGACACCTTCAGGCCCAAGACAGGGAGTCAGGGCAGCCCATGAGAGTTCTTGGGTCCTTGCTAGAGACAAAAACATGGCGGCAGGGAGGATTGCAATTCCCTCCAGTTCTATTGGGCTATACTACTAAATGTGGAACATGCTAACAAACGGCCAAGTTTTTTTGACAAATTTCACTGTACTTCTTTATAAACAAATATAATTTCTGTATATTTTATACAGGTGAAAGCGATGCTAGTTTTTCTAAAATACAAAAAGGCACTATCAATACTTGGATAAAGCCATGGACTTCCAAGGACACCTGAGTTTCTTTGATTTGCACCCCAAATGGATGTGTCCTGTTATATGTAAGAGCAACGGCCATATAACAGAGCTTAATAAAATTCTTAGAACACCTTAAGAAAACAAGTCTCTATAAGGTTACTTAATGTTGACTTTGTGATCCCTTTCACTATCAATTGGTAAACTCAGAGGAACAAAAAAAATGTTCAAACCTAAGTCACATAATCAAATGGCATATTTGCAAGGTAACCCTCTCCAACATCTAGAAGTCTCCATTGTAACCTAAAACTAATGTTTGAGTTACTTGCCCTTTTGGCACAGCTATTTATGTTAAGGGTACACAATGGAAAATAATCTACAACCGGCTGTAGAGGAAAAAAAAAATTGATGTAATCTGGGGCAAGAAATACCAGTCGTGTGATAGGATTAGCACATGTAAAGCACCCTGAAGAGGAAATTAAACCAGCAGTGGCCACAGACACATGATAAAGAAGCAAGAAGACATACATCATATAGCGGACTCCTGCCGAAGAAGATAAAGTTGGAATATTCTTAGTATAGATCGAGGAGGAGGAAGAGTCTCTAAGAAAAGAAAGAGATGCATGAATTACAAAATAGGCTTGAATTAAAAGTCTAGTTCTACATAATGCATTTAAGCTACCCAGCGTAACATATGTGGTTATGTCATAGTTAATCTTAACTAATAATATCACAAAACTAGAGGTGACCCTAGAGATCATTTTCTTGTTTTCAGATGAGAATATTGAGGCCAGAGCATAAGCCCAAGGTGACATGGCATGTTGGTGGAATGAAGACTAGCATTCACATCTCACTAGTTGGGGCGTTTTCATTACAAGATGCTCCCTGACAGTAACACAGGGAGGAAAAACATAGCCCAGGACTCAGGTGTGTTGATGAAGGTCTGGTTCTGCATGCTTTAATACCGGCATGATGTATTTCTGCACGGTAGGACTCATTCTTCAATTTGTGAAGACCTAAGTTCCTCCAACCTACGAAACGACCCTTAGCAGTCTTCTACGAAGGTCAGGAGGATAGCGAGACCATGTGGGAGTTTTGCTTCAACACCAGATGTGTTCCCTTGGGCTCATACTAGGTCGCCCAATTTACCAAAGGCAAGAAGAAAGCCCCAGAAAAAAGATGCTTAGATAAGAAAGAAAAATACTCTCAAATACTAAAGAGAATGCAGCAATTTACTACATGCTCAGCAGGAATTTTCCCAAAACTTACTAAATAGTAGGATTTTTTATTAAGCCTTACGGAAATAGAGGAGAAGCCGCAAGAGGGGAAAAACAAAACAAATCCACATGTGTGTAAAAGAAACAAACAAGGCTAAATTCACTCCTGTGGAACTCGTCTTCTGTTTGACATCCTCTGAGCAGCGCTGTCCTATCTGCTCTCCTGCTGCGCCTGAGCTTCCTCAGGGCAGGGTCACAGGTGTCATCATCGTGCTTACATACCTTTCTCAGGCAGCGGCTTTACCAAAGCCTAAGCTGTGAAATTTGGAACTACGACCCTCAAAAACGTTCCAGCCATTCCTTCTCTCTAGCAATCCAGGTGGCATCAGCCCTGGGTGAGACTCACTTTTGATCATGTTTACATCATTGGCTCCGTCTCCAATCGCCAGCGTGATGGCCTTCTTGTACCTCTTCACCAGGTCCACCACCATTGCCTTCTGCTTGGGGGTGACCCGGCAGCAGATGACCGCACTGCACTCACAGGCCAGGTCTACAAAGTTCTTCTGCTGCTGCTCTTTCCTGGCTTCCAGGCGCCTTTTACTCTGCGTTCGCATCCGTCTTTCTTCTTCCGTCCTCGGGAACTTCAGCTTCAGAATCTTACTTCTCTTGGTCTTTTTCTCCAGAAGAATTTCATTCTGTGAAAGTAGAGAAGGCGAGGATTACAACCATTTTAGCTTTTATCTCAAGAGTACCATCCCTAAGACTTTAATCGCATGGAGGATGGTTCTTGGTTTTATATCATGGATGATGCTGTTCTGATTATAAAACCTATTTGCTATAAAAATTTAGAAACTACTCAAGGCGCCTGGGTGGCTCAGTCGATTAAGCATCCAACTTTGGCTCAGGTTATGATCTCATAGTTCGTGAGTTCAGGCCCCACATCGGGCTCTGTGCTGACAGCTCAGAGCCTGGAGCCTGCTTCAGATTCTGTGTCTCCCTCTCTCTGCCCGTCCCCGCTTGCACTCTGTCTCTCTCTTTATCTCCCTCTCAAAAAGAAACATTAAAAAATTTTTTTAATTTAGAAAATATAAAAACGTACAACAAGGAAAATGAAAATTATCCATGATTGATAAAGCAGGGATAACCGCTATTATCAGTCTGGTAGTTCCTTCATGTATCATATAGTAAGTCTCAAACTTGGGAAATTGCCTGTTCATTGATAGGCCAAGAGATTTTTAGGTTGACAGTTCATTTGAGAAACCATCTGAAATCAGTCCATAATGAACTGCTATAGTTTAAGGCAAAGGCATAGACACACTAAGGATACGCACCAACCAAGAACCAGTGATTATTAAAGCACGGTTTTCACCAGATGGGAAAAAGGGTTCGTGCACAGGGGGTAAAAATTTTGCATAGACTCCACCTCTATTCCTCTGGTTTTCCATCCTTGTATGAAGAAGAGCACTGGGGGAAAAAGAAATTTAAGTGTTTAAGAGTATAAGACTATAAACAGGCCCTTGCCTGTGAAGTACTTTTGACATACCATCTCTGTTTTCATTTGTGTTTTAAAGAAAAACAAAAATTATCATCTTAGCTATTTCTACAGTTCAGTAGTATTAAAGTATATTCAAACTGCTTTGGAACCAATCTCCAGAACTTTTTCATCTTTCAAAACTGAAACTCTCTACCAATTAAATAACTCCCCATTTCCCTCTTCCCCTAGTCCCTGGTAACTTCATTTTCTACTTCATTTTCTGTTTCTACGAATTTGAGCACTCTAAAATAACTCCTATAAGTGGAATCACACTGTACTTGTTTTTTTCTGATTGGCTTATCTCCTTGTCCTCAAGGTTCATTTGCTATTGTAGCACATGTCAGAATTTCCTTCCTCTTTAATAAAATTCCAGTGTATGGCTATACTACATCTTGTGTGTCCATTCATCCATCAATGGACGTTTGGGTTGCTTCCACTTCTTGGCTATTCTGAAGAGTGCTCCTATGGACATGGGTGTGCAAATATCTCTTTTGAGTTCTGGCTTTCAATTCTTTGGGATATATACCTATGAGTGGGATTGCTGGATCATATGGTAATTCTATTTTTAACTGTTTTGAGGAGCCACCATACTGTTTTCCATAGTAGCTGCACCATTTATTTTGCACCAACAGTGCACAAGGATTCCAGTTTCACATGCTTGCCCATACTTGTTATTTTCTGGGTTTTTTGTTTGTTTGTTTGTTTTAATAGAAGCCGTCCTGAAACGGTGTGAAGTGATATCTTATTCTAGTTTTAATTTGTAGCTCCTTAATGTCTAGTGATGTTGAGCATCATTTCATATGCTTGTTAGCCATTGGTATATCCTCTTTGAAGAAATGTCTATTCAAATCCTTACCCCGTTTTTAAATCAGGTGACATAATCTTATTTAAGTCTTAATTCCTCCCCTGTGGGGCACCATGTTCTTGTGGCTCATTATTTGCCAAAGACACCTAAAGGAAGATACAGTTGAAAATATTCTCAGGGCCAACAGAAGGAAGGCAAGCTTGATCTGAATTATCATACCTGTAGATTATAAATAGTCGCGACTGTTTGGCAAAAGAAGCTTACTTCCACATAAAGGTATGTTTGCTTTTGAGAAATTCTCAGTGGTTTCTATGAAAAAATACTTGAGAAGACTGCATACAGCACATCCATGTGACAGAAAAACTAGTCATGGAATTTTGGAGTGGAAGGCTCCATAAATATCCTGTCCAAACTCTTCACGTTACAAATAAGGAAGTCAAGCCCATGAGAGATGATACGATTCACCTGTAGCTAGTTGATAGGAAAATGAGAATGAAGACTCAGGTCTCCTTACCCTCAGCCCACAGCTTTCCTTGTTACACACACACACACTGCCACTGTTCTCCACTTTCGAGAGCGACTTTCTCAGCCTTAGCGCTATTGATGTCTTGGACCAGGTAATTCTTAGTTGTATGTGGCTGACTACCGCACTGTGGGACATTCAGTAGCACCCCTGGCTTCTGCCTATTAGAAGCCCATAGTTCCCCTCCTTCACTATTAAGACAACCAAAGATGTCTCTAGACTGCCAGAGCTCCCCCCCTGCAAGGCCAAACTACCCCCAGCTGAGAACCACTACACTAGAGGATTACATATTTACTATTCTTTCTCCATATTAACTTCTCATTTTCAAGTTGAAAATAAGGAGTGATCAAGACAAATCACTGAAAGAAAAAGAATAGGAAGGTACCCACTCAAACCATTCTATGGGAATCATCCTTTCAGGAATCACCTAGAAAGAAAGATGATTCAGCCCTCTAGAAAGGTAAACTTAGCTAAGAGCATGGTCATAAAATTTGCTAGTTGCATAAATTTTATCTTCTAATTTAGCTCAGGGCCCAATTTTCAAGACATCAGAAAGACCAGAAATCTATTAAGACCCTCATCTACAAGAAATAAGACCTTCTGGCAATTAACCAAAGTACTTGAAACCAGGCAACTACTTAAGTGAACATCTTAGTATTTATTTGCCTGTTGCTATTTTTTAAAATGCTAAAAGCTCAAAGAGGCATGGTTAATGTATTCAAACAGAACTGATCGATGTAGATTTTAGAGCTGATTTTCGTTTGTCTAATTTAGCTTCAGTGCCCAATGTACTGGGACGGCTCGCAAAAGCTCTGTCACTGTCATTAGAAAGAAGATCAACCACCACCATCATCTCCTTCATCATCTTGCCAAATGAGGCAAGTGTGTACATTCACAGCTTTTGGCCTTAGGACAGCCTGGCGGCGGTGGGAGGGGAGGGTTGTCGTAAGGCATAAATGAAACTGTGAAGATGGCACCGCCTGGTAACTTGTGTGGCACGTTTCTGGCTTTACCACAGGCAGGGCTTTTCCTTACATGTTTCCAGGCTCCTGTGACTCTGGGCTCTCGAGTGTTTCAGGACAAGCTACACTTTGAAATATCCTGCCCCATCCAGATAAGACTAGAGGTGCGTCCCATCCACACGTTTCCTTCCAGGCAAGACTAGGGGGTTCTTTCCTTCTATTTTTTTCTTTCGAACTTACGATTCCTTGAAAAGGCAGCACGTAGACAGAATTCACATTAGTTGGCTGGTGATGTCTCCAGACTCACTTTTGTTTTTGCTTTTTAATCAGCAGGCAAGCACTGAGGACTTGTAAAAAAATGGAGTGAAATGCCCCCTGAAAGGGTGAATAAGGGCCCCAAGCTCCCCTAACACTAAAATTTGCTCAAAAGGAGATCCAGCCATGATACCCTGGTGCTGCCTGTGTTCTCTTGCTTTATTTAAGCGTGAGGAAAACGGTCTGAAGTGACATTCTAGCTTCCGTTTCTCCATGTCTGCTGTGTCTTCTGCATCTAGTTTTGCCTTTACTTACTTTATATCTTCCCCATAGCAGATAGTGGTGTCTTCAGTCAGAAGTTCACAAGCAAATCCTATATTTTCAGCAGTTTCTATAACAGAAAACAAAGCAAAACTAGTTGTTGAGGTGCCTGGGTGACACAGTCAGTTGAGCATCTGACTCTTGGTTTTGGTTCAGGTCATGATCTCATGGTTTGTGGGTTTGAGCCCCGCATTAGGTTCTGTGCTGTCAGCTTGAGATTCTCTCCCTCTCTCTCCATCCTTCTCCTGCTCGCACGCGCTCTCTCTCAAAATAAATAAATCAAAACCCAAGTGTTGTGCCTATTGATGAATAATTGACTGGTAATAAGCATTTTTTTCAAGTAACAGCCTGATTCAATCAAATATACTGGGTTTTTTTCAGTAGCCACATATATACACAAAGGAGGAATAAGAGCCGTTTTTCTGTGATAAAATAAGAACTCAAAGTCTGGTTTGTTTTCAATCATAAAATGTACTATATTATCAAATATACAAATATGCAAACTGATTATTTAACAAATCAATGTTCACTGAAATACTAAGCACATTCAGTTCACACGGCTTAATCATTCTGTTATGGAAAAAAAAGATAATTATTTCCATAAACCCTCACGTGGGGCCCCTACTGGGGATTTTTCCCCTTTTTCCATCACCGCCCACTGTTATTTGTTTAAGGTCAGGACTTCCCTTAGCTTATCAGAGTGTGTAACTCATGAACGATGTCCGAGTAAGAGAAATTATCTGGTTTCCGTGGGAGGCTTGTGGAGTGCGATATCCCTGCCAAATAACACCTTGTTGAGCTCTAAATTTAAAAATTCAAATCATCCCTTGGGTGTAAAATTTTAATGATAGTTTTCAGGCAATAAAATGGGTGAGAAAACAAAAGTTACTGGTCAGCAGTTTGTATTATGTTCTGCTCTGCGCCCAACAAATGACGAAGGGACCAGAGGGATGGTCCTTTCACAAGAAGAACCCACGTCTGGCTGGAGAGAGGAGACTGATCACAGTTAGCATGGCACGACCAGGAGCCCAATTATAAGAAATAAACTCTGCTACTGAGAGAGTTTCCAGAAGGATGCTGTCGGCATGAGCTGGAATAACGGAGAAGGGTTTCTTAAAGAAAGCATTTTTGTCTCAAAGAAATGGACAGTATTTGTGCAGGATGGAAAGTCTGAGAAAGTCGTCTTGGGCAAGGGAAACAGGAGCTATGAATGTTTAATGAATTGAGGGATATGCCTCCTCACAGACTGAATTACCCTTTTTGTCTCCAGTAAGCACCCAGATCTTAATGTCAGCTTTCGCAAGTTTTGAAATGGTTTCTGGGACTCCATCCTGTAACTTGTCTTCAATAGCCGTAGCTCCCAATAGCTGGAATGTACATTTAGAAAATGAATTAGCAAAAAAGCTCAAAATGTTCCATAATTGCAGTTTGCCAGCCTATAAAAAGCAGCAGGGCTAATCATGTACCCCAATTGGCGCTCCGCTGGGGCTGATAGCCAGCACTAACAGCAAAGGCAGCCGTGTTTCACCCTCAAAAAAACAAAACATTCCAAACCTTTTTTCTTAGTTTACCAAGGTAAAAACATACAGTACAAAATCAAGGACGTCAAAAATATACTTTCATTATATACATGCTATTTTACATGGACACAAGCCACTTCCTCTCTCTCAAGGTCGATACTAGCTATTGAACATTTCCTTTTAATCTAAATTCTACAGGCGCTAAGTATTGAACTTTGAGCAATTTCATTTATAAATGGTATCATTTTCTTGTTTCAAGGTTTTGCAAAATATAAATCAGTTCAGTAATTCTCAAAATGTAGAAACATATGCTGGTTTGTTATGTATAAAATCATAAAGAATTCTAATAAGTAATACAAAAAATAATAGAATCAGATTAGAATCTCAATGTTTTCCGTCTTTTGTTTTCTCATAATGGCAGCTTCTATTTCGCTTGCCGAACCAAAGAAATTCCGATGACCTGGTTCCTTTGTACCAATTTGAAATGCTAAAGTTAGAATTATATTTCAAGCATGAGACTGAAGATCTAACAAGACTTAATAAAACTTCCGGTTCTGTTTAGAATATCAGGTCATGAAGGTCAAAACTCACAATTAAGTCTTTTTCAATCTCCTCGTACACTTTATCCAGAGCTTCATCCCGGTTGGTTGGGGCTATACTGGCGGCCATAAACTTTTTATTCCATTCTTCAAATTCTTTTTCTTCAATTTCCTTGTAGCAAAGGCACAGGGTTCTAAGAGTCTCACTTGCAAAGATCTATTTAAAAGATAATGCATCCAACAGAGAAGAGTTAATTTTACGTAAGTCAAGTTTGAAATCTTTCTTTGAAGGGATACAATAAGAGCGTTTAAAAAGAGGTCATGAAAGATAACGGGCTCTGAATAAATACATTCTGTAGAGGAGATTAAACAAAATACTTTGTTTTTCATTTTAAGTATTCTCGGGGTCCTATTTGTAGTTCCCAAATTAGTTAAAGAGAAAAGTGTACATCATTGGGGTGTAATGATGTTGTAAACGCAGACCTGACAACTTCATAATTTGTTCCCACAAACTGTTACAAGCCCAGTCAACTGTGAACTCTCAACTAAGCATTATTTCCTCAAACCAGTTCTGAAATACCTGAGCCACTGGTAAAGCTGAGGTAAAACGTTTTAATGAAAAACAATTGTCTGGAAAATTTAATCATGGTGAACAGATTTAAGCCATTTTATTTTATTAATGTTTATTTATTTTGAGAGAGAGTGCAAGTGGGTGAGAGGCAGAGAGAGGAGAGAGAGAATCCCAAGCAGGCTCCATGTAGTCAGTGCAGAACCTGACTCAGGGCTTGATCCCATGAACTGGGAGATCATGACCTGAGCCAAAAATCAAGAGTCAGATGCTTAACCGACTGAACCACCCAGGCGTCCCTAAACTATTTTAAACAGCTTAAGTATGAGCCAGTAAAAATGTTTTTAGTACTTTAGTCACATCTTGTCTAGCCAAGATGGCAGAACTATTTCAACCAACAAAGATTCTTTGGAAGGTTCTGCATCTGTTTGATTAAATTACAAGTATTCATATCCCCTTGAGAAATTATCTATTATAACTGCTTCAACAACATATCCAATCTTAAAATGAGACCCAAAAGTAAACAACATATACAGGCGTCTTCCCCAAGGACCTTTGGCTGGCCCCCAAACTCAGTCAGACCCAGGGAAGAAAGCCCCTTTATTAAGCACTTACTAAATGCTGGGAATTGTGCAAGTACCTTCCATTACAATGACTCTCCTTGGTAGGAATTATCCTCTTCCTCTTTCACAGAGGTCATTAATGCTTCAGTGAGATATCAACTGTTTCCCCCAAGGACACAAAACAAGTGAAGAGGCAGAACAGGGATACCAGGTCTGATGGATATACTCTCTACTTCATTGCCATCATTAATAGAACCAAAACAATATGAGGATTGATAGGCAATGCCAAGAGAGAAATTTCCAGAAGCATTCTCAGTAACTGCAATATCACTGGACTAAGTTCACACTCCCTTTAGATAACAAATTTGAAGTGATGAAGACCAAACTGATTTACAACAAAGGTAGCAGAACTCAGTTATCCAGTGCATTGTTTTCTCACGCCCCATCATACGTGAATGCTTTTTTTTCAATGTTCATTAAGTGGTTGGTGGGATTCTTGGAGGCCGCACGGATATTAAGACTATAGCTCACTATAGTTATGTGGCTTGCTCAGGGTCACTGCACCCGTCATTACTCTGGGCCTCTCCTACAGACGCTGCCCACCTGAGATGCTGGGAAAGAACACCATGGTCATGTCCTGCGAAGTCCTCAGCAGGGGCAGAACCAGAACATGGCTGCCGTATTCCTGCATTGGTGCTCTTTCCACACAACTGCACCAAGACAACAGAGGGGTCAACAGTTCACACAGAGCTTTCATTTGAGCTTCGAAGACAGTATCAGAAAGGAAGTCTGCAATCTGCGGCAGAAAGGGCGAGGGTGGGACTCACATCCAGGGCATCCTGTGTCTCTTGTTTTGTTGGATTCACCTGGTGTAACCTTTCATAAATCACCGTGTCAGCGCCTTTGCAATAAAGCCTGATGGTGCCTTCTGGGGTTCTTACTAGTAGGAAGAGAAGGAGAAGCAAATCATAAAGTTAGCTTTGATTTCTTAACAGAAAACTACATTTATAAAGTCGATTTGGAGCGTTACTATGCTAATAATTTACCATTAGTTGAAAATCATGAATGCACCTAGAAAAACCTCAGGAAAGCTGGTAAGCCGCTATCTACATACAATGTTATATAGTGAAATAAATATGAGCGGTAGCCAGCTCAGCTTTTCATATCCTTCCTTATTCCTTTAGCAAATATGGACTGATTCCCTACTCTGTGCCATGCCCTGTGCTAATATCTTCCATAAGGCCTTCTTTGTCCACGCTGTAGGAATCTTTCTTACCTATAAACCTGGGACACTTCCTGCCTTTAATACTCAGACCACAAGACTCCTTGTGACCATTTTTCTTGGATTTTTGGATCTGTGAGATAATTTAATAATAGTATGTGCCTCAGAACTAACTAGATTTTGAGGTCTTCAAGGTAAATGGCAGGCATGATAATCAGCCTAGGTCAGTGTTAGGCACACAGAAAGCACTCAGTAAAATGTGCCTCATCAGAGTTCAGTAGACAGTTGAACCTATATATTTTTCTTGGTTAAAAACTCAGTCCCATAGAGGAGAAATCTCGTGAACACTTTGAGTGATCAAAGCTAACATCACTAATAACCCTGGGCTTCCAGAGGTGACATGCTGGGAGAAAGCAGCACCAATCCATGCACCTTCCTGCCAACAATGTGTAACCTGAATTCAGGAATATTGGACAATCCAAACTGAGAGACTTTCCACAACAGAACACAACATGGGCCTGTGCTTTTCAAAATATCAATGTAAAGGGGCACCCGGGTGGCTCAGTCAGTTACGTGGCCGACTTAGGCTCAGGTCACGATCTTGCAGTTTGTGGGTTCGAGCCCCATGTTGGGCTCTGTGCTAACAGCTCAGAGCCTGGATCCTGCTTCAGATTCTGTGTTTCCCTCTCTCTCTGACCCTCCCCTGCTCACGCTGTCTCTCTCTCTCTCAGAAATAAATGAAACATTAAAAACAAAATATCAACGTATGGAAGATGAAAAAATATATATATATGGAGAAACTGTTCTAAATTAAAGGAGACCAGAGTTAACAATCACCTACTGCAGTATGCCATCCTGGGTCTTGAACCAAGGAGGAGGGAAGGGAGGGAGGGAAAAGAAAATCCCTGGTAAAATCTGAAAACATCCTGTAGATTAGATAACAATATTGTTTCACACTAAATTTTCTGATTCTGATCATCGTATTTACATATAAGTGAATGTTCTTGTTCATAGGAAATACCTACTTAAGTATTTAGGGAAAAGGAGCCTTAGCTCTGCAATTTACTCTCCAGTGGTTCAGGAAACAAGAACCTGTATATGATGAAAATGACAAAGAACATGTGGCCAATGCCAGCAGTCTGTGGATGTGGACGAGAATACAAGAGTTCTTTAAACCATTTTTACAATGTTTCCTGTACGTTTGAAATTGTTTTCAATTATGAACATGTCAATATTGGGAAGCCATACTGAATGGCGGCCTGCCCCGGAGGTTCACTTCTGCTCCATAAGCACAGCCTTGCTTTTCTCTGGGCCCGTGTCATGCTGCTTCTCCCTTCCCTGCCACCCAGTGCAGGGCAGACAGGCTGGGACGGCCTCCCAAAACAAGAGCATGTGTTGTGGATCCATCACCCACTGTGTTACCACCCTGGATTCTGCAGCCGGAAGCCCCTATCGCTCAAGAATGTCAATGTTTGCAAGACTCAAGATAAACTGCCGTTGTCCCTGTGAGTGATGGATCCCATGCAGAATGAAGGGAAAAAACGCATTTCAAGAAGTCCAGGGAAATCTTCTAGGAGTTGAGCGGCCCCTTCATTGCCTGTTTTATTCTGGTGTCGTGAAATCAAATGCATAAAAGGCAACCTCTCAATGAATGCTGCACAGACACACTCTTGAGGGAGACCTACCAATTATAGACATTCGCTTCCGGTCACTGTTGAAGTCCAGAATGGCAAGAACGTTGTAGGTCCTCTCGGTTCCCAATTCACTGATGGTGATTGTGTTCTGGGTCCTGGCGAGGAAGGCAAAGCCAAAGTTCCTGGCAGCGCTCACCAGAGCGCCTTCATCAGGAGAGGCTGCCTGGTAGTTGAGCTGACCTAACAAGGAAGGCAGGAGAGAAAAGCAGAAAATCTGTAAAACCAGACAGAGAGGTCATGGCTGAGGCTCACATGGAGGCTAAGAATGTCTCACAAAGCCCAAAACATCCCCAAGAAAACAAATCATTGCTTCTTAAGAGTATGTCAACATTAATACTTAAAAAAAATTTTTTTTTGTTTAATGTTTATTTTTGAGACTGAGAGAGACAGAGCACAGGCAGGGGAGGGGCAGAGAGAGGGAGACATACAGAATACGAAGCAGTCTCCAGGCTCCGAGCTGTCATCACAGAGCTTAATACGGGGCTCGAACCCATGAGTGGTCAGATCACAGCCTGAGCCCAAGTCGGACGCTCAACTGACTGAGCCACCCAGGTGCCCAAACACTTTTCAAGCTTCACGGTTTTATTTCTAATTATAAACAGTAATATAAACTGGGGGGGGGGGAGCAAAATCCCCATATTGCCACCATCCAGAGGAAAAACAGCGCTATTGACATGGTATTACCATTCCTTCCAGTCCTTTCGAAAATGCCTAATTCTGTAATAGTTTCTATCATATGTTTACATTCTGGCTATTTTAACCCAATATGCTGAGCATGCTGACATAATTTTAAAAATTCTTTCTAAACATTATTTTAATGAATGTAAACATATCCCCATTTTCCAATTATAGGCACTTAGTTTATTTCCAAATTTATCTGCTCTCAAAAATAACACTGTAGCAACCATTTTGCATGTGCATAAAGGTTTTGCTGACTGTTTTCTAAGGATAGCTTCCTAGGAGTGATAATACTGAGTTAAAGAATACTGATAATTTGGGGGCACCTGACAGACTCAGTTGGAAAAAGCATGTGACTCTTGATCTTGGGGTCGAGAGTTTGAGCCCCACATTGGGCATAGAGATTACTTAAATGAATAAAACTTAAAAAGAGAGAATACTGATTTTTTTAAGTCTACTGGCATATATTACTCATTTGTTTTCCAAAAGCGTTGTATACTTTATCTTCCCTCTGGAAGAGTATACTTACTTCACCATAGCCATATTCTCATGTTAAAATAAAACCTCAAAATTCATCAGTTGGCTCAATCTCTTGATGTTTAAAGTCAATTAATGGAAAGCTGCCTTGTCTTCATAAGTAAGCTTCAACAACTGGAATAAATCTCAGTGTTGAGTGAAAGAAGCCAGACATGCAAGTCCATGCTACATGATTCCATTCATACAGACCACAAACCGACGAAGCCACCCTGTGCTATTCAGTCCGGGTCAGGACTGGTCTCCCTGGAGGTGCAATGACTGGAAGGGAACACAAGGGGACTTCTAGGGGATTCATACTGTTCTGTTTTTTAAAATCTGGGTGCTCAGGACAAGGGAGGATTCCATTTGTGAAAATTTACCGAGCTATACGCTGGGCCCCATACACATGTTGTACTTCAGTAAAAAGCTGAAAAACATTTTCCATCTTTCTACTTTAGTGTTTCTGCTTCTAAGCAGAAAGAAAAGCACATCTATGGTCAGGTGGATTTTCGCAGAAAAAGGCATTTCGTGTTCCGCCATGGTTTGAGCAGGATCCAGGCCACGGATGGATGGGCGGCTTTTGAAAACTGCCTACAGGTAAGGAGTATTACAGGTAAGGAGAGGATGCTCCAGGGTGAATAAGCTACAGGGAGGGTTGCACCTCCGTGTGCCTGCCCCCCCTCCCCGCACCCCTGTCCCCTCCGCTCAGATGGCTCACTCCAAGTCAGTATCAATCACTTCCCAGTTTAGTAATTAAAGAGGACACTTTAAGTTGTTTTCTGCTCACCCAGAAAGTCATACACCCAAAGTTATAAATGTACATGCTAAATCCATCCATTTCCTCACAACCTCCAGTGGGGCAAAATATTTTTTTAATGTTTCTCTTTAGAGAGAGAGAGCAAGAAAGAGAGTGAGAGAGAGTGCGGGTGCAAGCAGAGGAAGGGCTGAGGGAGAGAGAGAATCCCAAGAAGTTCCAACTCAGGGCTCGATCCCATGACCTCGAGACCATGACTGGAGCCAAAATCAAGAGTTGGACGCTCCACTGACTGAGCCGCTCAGGTGCCCCGGGAGGGCCAAACATTTAACCGGAGCTGACCAAGTAATAGTGAGGACACGACTCCTTCAGCAAGCGTAGCTGGCACAGTGATCTCTTGCGTCATGCTGACGGCAAGCTTACTTCCAACAGAAAAAGGGCAACGAAATGATAAAAGGTGGTAAAGTTTCCATGACTAAGACAGTCCTATCTGGAGCAAACACTGATATTGTTATCATGACCAAAAAAGAAAAAAAGAAAAAGAAAAACCCTTCCACTTGGTTCTAGTAATAGTCACAGAATTGCAGACTAATGAAGACAGGAGGAAGCTCAGAGAGCTGGTCCAAACTCCAGCTTTATGTTGGCAGGAAGAAACTAGGACTAAAAAATAATCCTCCGCAATAATTTCTGAAGAGAACTCTTTATTTACCGTACACTTAGAGGCAACTAGAGAGACATTCTTTTCTTTCACAAACTAATTTGTGGATCATGAAAACGGTGCCCATAAAAAAAGATGCTCAAACCTCAAATCGCATCTCTGGTGATTCTGGAACCATAGCTTCCTCCGGTGGATACCAGCCCATCTCCTATTCACCTGCCCTGAAACAAGTTACCCCTCAACAATCTCACCCCCTTCAAATCACGTGCTGAATGTCTCCCGCATCTGTGGCTTCCTCATCCTTCCCAAAGACCCCACCATCAGCCAGGCCCTCAGCCTCTAAACCAGCCTCCAGGGTCGCTGTGCTCCAACCTCCTCAAACACCGCCTCTCTTCACAGCACATCCTGACTTACAGGCCTGCAGGTGAAGAAAGGGTCTCCAAGTCTTCCTCACTCTGCTCTCACAGGGCCTCTGCAGGAGGTAGGAATCAAAGAAGGCCCCTAGGTCCCTGCCCCCCATGCTGTGTAACAGCACCTCCTCCCGATTATTCAAATGCTAATCTAGGTCCTGCTGGGAAGGGATTTTGCAGAAGTAATTAAGGCCCAAATCTGTTGACCTCAAGATACTGATTATCTGACTGTTCCCAGCCTAATTAGGTCAGTCCTTAAAGGCACAGGACTTTTCCTAGGGAGAGGGATTCAAAGCATGGAAGGGGTTCCGTGGAAGAGGGATTCTCTCTTGCTGGCTTTGAAGATGGGGGGGGGGGGGCGGGCGTGTGGCCAGGAAGAAGGGAGGCCTGTAGGCACAGGAAATGGAGACCTCGGTCCTTGGGCTTGAGAACTGAATCCTGCACTCCCACCTGAGCTTAGAGGAGGAGCCAGAGCTCCAGATGAGAACATGACCAACCTTGATTTTAGGGGGATCTTGAGCAGAGAACCCTGTCACGCGTGCCCAGACTTCTGGCCTACGGAACTGTGGGCTAAAGAATGGGGGTCTTCAGCTATTGAGCTGTGGAAATTCATCACAGAGCAACAGAAAACCAAGGCCTTCTCTCCACACTTCGTCCCCATGTGCCACAGGGACTCAACATTCGGGCCACACACACTGTCTGCTGAACTAGGCAGATGTGCATGGCAGCAGATAGGAAAGGATTTCCTCCCTTCTCCTGTTGACGGTATGCATAAGAAAAGACTGACGAGTCTCCATTTTTCTTACAAAAGAGAGAAAACACAAGAGCAAGGCACCCCAGAATCAGGGATTGCAAGGGGACCGAACCAGAAGGGATTCTGACCTGCTGAATGGGTCATACAAGTCCTTGTTGACTTCTGGGTCTCTAATTCCTTATCTCTCATGCTTGGAGGAGGGGCTTCCCAAGGTCTTTCCAAGGGACCCTTTCAAGGTACTTCATGTATCAAAACCAATTTCTCTTTTAGCCCCTGCATCTGGAAACCCAGCAGTTCTCCATTCACAATGGCTACAGCAATGGCCTGTCACACGCCGTATGAAAGAAGCTTCCTCGGGACATACAATTCTTTGCCTCAGCGGACAGTGGGACAGAGATCTGCACAGTGTTAGGTTCAAAGGGAACTTGAATTCCAACCTTCTGCCCGAGACACTGAGGAAGCTGATACTCGGACCAAAGACCCTGGTCTATACCATGTGCTGTAGCTGGGCCGGCCCATCTCTAGCAGATCAGGGCTCTTCCCATAATACCCCAGTGAGGAGAAAGGAGAGTAGAGACCATAAGATTAAAGTATATTTGCCTAAGTTGGCTGGTTAGCTCTCAAAATACCACCCCCACCCCCACCACCCCTCACCCACCCACCCACCCCCACACACAAAAAGATGAATAATTTTACTAATGAGTCAAGACCTAAGATGACCAACTTGCTTCGAAAGATCATACTTTGATACTTACTGTATGAGTAACACGTGGTTGTCTAGAAAACAGACTTTGGCCTCTACATTGGTTATTCATGACCTGGCTGATCTCTTTCTGCCTTCCTTCACTTTGGCTGCTAATAACCTTCCATGTATCTGCCCCAATTTGAATCCTGCTGCTATCTTGCTTTATCGCACCATTATGGCCACACTTGAAATGGGTTTCTTTGAAATTTGCTGAAAGATAGCACATAAAGCTTTTACACATTCAGTTTTTCTGCATATTCTCCCTCTGGAGATTTCGTACTTGCCCCACATGAAACCACAGGGTCAGAAAACAGAAAGGCACCTTACTTTGCTGCACTCATTCAAGTGCAGGATGGACAGGCAGACTGCTCCATTGCAGAAATGCCAAAAGGGTTCCATTCCTCTTTCAATAATGTACAGGTGTAACTTATTATAATGTCCATATGTGAAAAAATGGCTAACTTTCACTGACATTGGACACATTTGCTCTAACAAAGCTCGCACAAGCTGCAAAGGAGGGGCGCCTGGGTGGCTCAGCCAGTTAAGCATCCAACTCTTGATTTCGGCGCAGGTCATGATCTCGCAATTCATGAGATCAAGCCCCACATTAGGCTCCATGCTACTAGTGTGGAAAGCCTGCTTGGGTTTCTCGCTCTCTCCCTCTCTGCCCCTCCCCTGCTCACTCTCCCTCTCTCTCAAAATAAATAAATAAACTTTTTAAAAAAGAATCTACAAGTCAGCTTTGCTGGCTCCCATGCAAATACACATTAATTATGCTCCTTCCAACGAAAAAGGCACCTTAAGCCCAGGCTCTGGTGGGTATTATTTCAAACCCCAAACATATCTGAATCTAGATAATAAATTCTCTCTGAAATTATTTTGCAGCACAGATTATTCAAGCTCAAAGTCCAGCTACAATCCAGATAAGACATGATTCTTCATGCTCAATAAATGTCAAGTAATAACAGGGCAGGAAGATTATGATTCTTCTCATATAATGCAAGAGTCCATCATTTCTTTGAATGATAAGATTTCACTTGCAAAGTGATAAACACGTTGGGAGCTATTTCTGTGAAGAAGATGTACATTTTTCAGAGACTGGGGGCTTGCTTCATACGTTGCTACCTCATAGGCACTCAAGGTAGGTGCTCACCAGTGTTCATCGCTTAAGTAAAAGACAGACTTGCCATGCATACTACTCTACTACTCTACTCTACTACTCTGAGTGCTGGGTGTGAGTTACCTGGAAACTAAAAACCCCGGGGCCCTGTGTCAGAGATGCCAGGGAAACACTCACCGTCAATTCTATCCACCATGACTGTGTGGCACACTGCGAGCAAGAAGAAAAACTGCCGAACCTCCGACTCTTTCCCTGACTGGATTTGCTCGATAAGATAGTGGTCGTAAAATGCCAGCTTCCCGTCAGCGAACGTGTTCCAGCTGAAATCCACTTGCTGAGAGAAGTGGGGGAGGGAAAAAAAATGTGATTTTAAAAATAGCAGTGTGGGCTTAACAAATGAGAGAAGCTGGTCTTTGAAGCCAAGTCTTCGAGGACACATTTTCTTAGGATTATAACATACATTTTAAGGTGTCAAGAGGCTCGTCCCTGTCTTAAAACAAAAAGGCATCCTGTTGTGGGTTGAATTGTGTCCCCCCAAAAGCTATGTTGAAATCCTAACTCCTGGTGGCTGTGACTCTGACCTTATTTGGAAAGGTCTTTGGAGATAAAGTCAAGTTCAGATGAGGTCATACTGGAGGGCGGTGGGCACTAATCCCATGTCTGGTGTCTTTATAAGAGGCGGGAAATCTGGACACAGACACACAGATACCCTGGGAGAGCACCATGTGACAATGAGGCAGACATCGGAGTGTCGGGTCTATAAGCCAAGGAACACCAAGGTTTGCGGGCAAGCACCGGGAGCCAGAAGAGGCGAGGGAAGATCCTTCCCTAGAGCCTCAGAGGGAGCATGGCCCTGCTGACACCTTCATTTCAGACTTCTGGTCTCCAGAACTGCGAGAGACCCAATTTCTGTTGTTTGAAGCCACGCTTTGTGGTGGCAGTTGGTTACGGCAGCCGTAGGCAACTAATACACAACCCAAACCCTTCCGTAAGCTAAAGGACTCACCTCTATCCTGCTGTGACTGTTCTGGGAGGCATCCCGATGGTCTCCTGAGAAACAAACAGGACAAGATAAATGGAGGCTCCCCTGCATGAAGAGGTCCCTCCTCTTCCCCTTGCTTTGGTTCTCTGGGTCCCTGCCTGTTTCTGGACGGCTTTCAAGTTTAGAGAGATCTTCACATTTTTGGAGAGTTGTCAAAACCAAACAAAACATAACAAAGAAGAAAATCTGATACAAACCATCTTTGGCCTGCAATGGCTACAGTATTTCCTGTCAGGCTCTCAACAGAAGGAGTTTGCAGACACCCCCACCCCCACCCCCAGGTCTAGAGGTTCAAATACTGGGGCCTCTCTTGTTCCATACTTCATCCTCCTCTGGGGCCAGACCCCTGTCCTCTGAAGTGCTTTATCTGCCCCCCAGCTCAAAAGGGACTTCCACTATGCACATGAGAACCACTTCCTAACCCCTCCCCACCCAGGGTCCCACCTCCTTCACGGGCCCCCATATCTGAGATGCCCCTTCTGCGAAAACACATCCATAGTATAGCTTTCTACAAGGACAAAGCATAGTGTTCCTATAGCTATTAAATTATACTAAGTCTTTATCTCGAAGTTAGAGCATTCTAATTGAATACAATATTAGCCTTAATATTTTTATTATATTTTTGTGTTTATGTTACATATAACATAAAATTTATCACCTTAACCGTGTTTTTAAAGTTTACTTATTTTGAGAGAGAGAGTGTGCGGGCAGGAGAGGGGCAGAAAGAGAGGGAGAGAGAATCCCAAGCAGGCTCCATGCTGTCAGCGCAGAGCCTGACATGAGGCTTGATCTCATGAACTGTGAGATCATGACCTGAGCTGAGCTCAGAGCTGGATGCTTAACCAACTAAGCCACCCAGGCGCCCTGCCCATCACCATTTTTAAGTGCATAGTTCAGTGACAATAAATACAGTCACACTAGTGAGTGACATCACCACCATCCCCTCCATAGCTGTTTCATCTGCTAAAGTTGCAACTATATACTCATTCAACAATAACTTCCCACCCTCTCTTGCCCTCAGCCCCTGGCACCCACCCATTCTACTTCCTGTGTCTATAAATTTGACTGCTCTAAGGTCTCATATAAGTGGAATCATACTATCTGTGCCCTTTTATGATTGGCTCCTTTCACTGAGCACAGCGTCTTTAAGGTTCATCCATGCTATAGTGTGTGTCAGACTTCTCCTTTTTTTAAAAATTTTTTTTCAAAGGTTTATTTTTTTAGGGGCGCCTGGGTGACTCAGTTGGTTAAGCATCCGACTTCGGCTTGGATCATGATCTCACAGTCTGTGAGTTCGAGCCCCACGTCAGACTCTGTGCTGCCAGTTCAGAGCCTGGAGCCTGCTCTGGATTCTGTGTCTCCCTCCCTCCTCCCCTGCTTGTGCTCTTTCTCTCTCTCAAAAATAAATAAACATTAAAAAAAAAAAACATACTGTGGAAGAGGAATGTAAAACACTACATTAATCATTTTTTTTTAATGTTTATTTTTTAGAGTGAGAGAGCGTGAGTGGGGGAGAGGGACAGAGTATCCGAAGCGGGCTCTGGGCTCACTGCACAGGGGCTCAACCTCATGAGCCATGAGATCATGACCTGAGCCGAAGTTGGACACTCAACGGGCTGCGCCACCCAGGCGCCCCAGAATGTTTTCCTTTTTAAGACTAAATAAGGCTCCGTTGTATGTGGAGACCACGGTTTGTTTATCCACTCATCCACTGACTGACACTTGGGTTGCGTCCACATTTGAGCTATTGTGAATAATGCTCATTGTGAACACAGTTGTGCAAAGATCTCTTCCAGTCCCAGCTTTTGGTTCTTTTGGAGATCCCCCCAGAAGCTGGATCACATGGCAATTTTGTGTTTGATTTCTTGAGGAATGTGTGCCTCTTTCTGACCGCTGACCTTTCCCACACATGTGTTCCCAATGCCGCCAGCAAAGCCGCTTCAGGACTCAGCCCGGCATGGCCACCAGGGCTGTGCACCAGGAGGGCACCGGCAGTGCTGGGAAGGCACTGGTCCCGCGTGCTCAGGGACGGAGTGACGGCTTCCACTCACCATAGATTTGCCCGTTGATGCAGCACTTCTTAAAGGTCATGATGTTTTGCGTGAGTGTCCCTGTCTTATCAGAGAAGATGTAATGGATCTGGCCAAGCTGCTCATTCAGCGTGGTGGTCCTGGCCTTGGCGGGCGTGTCCTTCTCAGGGTAGTACATCTGCAGGTCCCAATTTATGAAGTAACTCTGTCCCAGCCGGATCACTTCCACGCTAGGGAGACAAGGCAACACGTTAGTGGGGACGGTGCTCTCGGATATGGGAGGCGGGCAGCGAGCTTTCCCCTGACTTGTGCGCCCCGGAGCCAGCTGCCCATCTGCCAGGAGACAAGCCACGTGGTGGCCCATGGGCCCAGCCTCCAGGTGCCCCCGACCGGACACATCCTTCTCCAGCTTCAGGTTTACTGCGCCTCATTCAGTGAGTTCCCACTCATTCCTGACAACATCTGGCCACAGGACCCCATGCCGGGAACACAGCCCTACGGGACCAGGGACAGGGTGATGACGTGGCAGTCCTTACTCTCTTTTTTCTCATTTCCATCACATTCGGGACACCTGGAATGGCAGTGTTCGCGCCTGCCCCCAGCTGTCGGTGAGGGTCCGCTGGGTTACAGAATATGTGTGCTCACAAAGAGGCCCAAAAGCAAGGAAGCTTCTGGCAAATAACCTCTACGTTGTGATTGCACACTTTGAAAAAGCATAGTCCCCCCCACCCCCACCAAATTTATATAAGGTTATAGAATGTCCCAAGTAAGATAGTCTAAAGTAATCATCCCAATTTGAAAACTTTAAGGGGTTAAATATATCTCAGTTATGAGGATGCTGTTTACATATCCAGCAATTGCTAACTAGGCAGAAGATGTCTTTATAATAAATTAAAGAGATGGAAAAAGAACTCCCTCCCTCCCCCTGTAAATATTTCCTGAGTGCCTACTATGTACAGACACCATTCTAGGTACGGAAGGCCGCATAGGTCAACAAAACTGACAAAATCCTACCTTCAAGGAGGCTACCTTCTAACAGGGACAAATACATAAACTCTAAATCTAGCGTGTGGTGAAAATTCCCCACAGGACATCAAAGCAAGGTGAGAACAGAAGAGACAGAGTGATAGTTAAGATGGAGTGGTGTTTGGACAGAGACCCAAAGGGAATGAAAGAGCAACCATGTAGATAAGAGTGGAGAATGTTCCAGACAGAGACCAGAGCTGGTGTAAAGGCTCTGTGGCAGGCCCTGGAACCGGTGAGGAATATCGAGGGGACTGAAGTTGGAGAGACCAAGGAGGGGGCAGAAGTTCAGGAGGTTGTGGGAGGGAGGGGACAGACATCACAAGATCACGCTGGGCCTTGTGGGTTACAGTGAGGCCTCCGTAATGAGTTTATCCTGAATGAAATGGAAACAAAGGGTAGAAAACAAAACAAAGGGCAGAATGACTTGATCCAACTTATGCTTTGGAAGGACCTTTATCTCTAAGAGAAAGAAGGAAATCATATTGGTTACATGACATGACTTTGTAAAACCAAAACGACATACACGGTTTATTTTATAACATGCATTTATAGTTCGAGACAAAATAATCTGTTGAATAGCTCCCTCCACAAAGGTAAACCTTATCTCTGGTTTTTGTTGTTTTTTCTCCTTTTTTTAAAGCCATTGCAAACACATGATTCCCCAGGGCTCTCCTTCCTAGTGAAAGAGCAATGTTAACTACATGTAATAAGATTAAAAACAAAACAAATGCACAGGTAATAAAATTAAAATAAACTAAGTGCTTCTAATTACAGAAGCATGTGTGATCCCGTATGTCTCTGGGCTGTTACTTAAGTGGAGGTCAGAGTAGATTCTGGCTGAGTATATTCCAAGGCACAACTCCTCTTGCAACGGTCTAAAATCCAACTGATGAATGACAGTGAACTTTGACAGTAAAGAAAAAGTTTAAAAAAAAAAAACAAAAAGGAAGAAATCTCACCAAGCAAGGTGATCACTGTTTGTCACAGATATGACCCTGACTCCTTTATGAGGGTTCAGATTAAGATAAGAAACAGAACATTCTGAGAGGCTGGATGAGGGCAGGGAGAGAGGCATTCCCATTGGTAGCGACCAGCAAGTGTTTTACAAGCAATGGCTGTACCCGTGGTAATAAGGAAGACACAGAGAAGAGATTAGGAAGGCTCCTAAAAAGAAAAACGACTAAGCTTTTCCGTGTGAGTCGAAATCTCCAGCTTTCTCCCAAGGCCCTTTCTGAAGCCTGGGGCTTTGAGTCCGCTGAGAAGCAATCTTACCAAGTGAGTGACTTCTGAACCCTGCTCATCTTTATCTATAAAGTGGTCAAGATACAAGGTGCGGTGCTTGGCACAGAGCACACACTCCGATGTTAATTTCCTCTCCCTATATTACCCCCAATTCTGAAATGAAAGCTATTTTCTTACTTGTTCCTTATGACCTTTGAAACAATTATTGATAGAGATGAAGGGGCAAAGTTGGGAAAACGTACTGCATTCTTCCCGTAAAGCAAAAAGCCGACGAGAGGGTAGCCTTACCTGACATAGAGAGAGATGGGCACCATGGTGTTTAGAACAATGATATAGCCCCAGAAATTTAGGAATCCACGGTAGGAGGGTGTAAAGTCTTGTCCGTCATAGAGGTACCAAGAATAATTGCCGACTTGAGCTTCCCAGTAAGCATGGCCGATGGCCAGACCAGCAGAAAGCAAGATGAGAACAACAAAGATCTGGAAGACAGAAAACATTGAGGTGTATTTGGAAGATGGATGGCCATCCCCCAGAATCTCACAGATGCCAGTTAACCTCGCACAATACTCCAGCACGTTTACGATTACTTGGTAGTTTGCAAAAATAACACACTTCAAGGAAAAAACAGTGCATAAGAATGCTTTGAGAGCTTATTTGAGTTCTATGATTGCTTGATTTATCTGACATAACACATAGAGGCGCAGTTTTTTTTCCCCAAAACTATTGTTTGAAAGAGAAGGTGGTGTCTTATATTCAAATCCTTAAACATTCTTACATTACAGGGTGTTCTATCAGTTACTTTTACTTTGAATAATATCATACTGTTTGGGGAAGATAGCTTAGCATGAAATAATTTCAAACAATGCTGAACTGGGATGTTTATAGAAAATATTTGATGGAAATAACTTTTTAAAAGAGACTATAGAGGGGGCGGCTGGGTAGCTCAGTTAGTTAAGCAGCCGACTTCGGTTCAGGTCATGATCTCACTGTTTGTGAGTTGGAGCCCTGTGTTGGGCTCTGTGCTGACAGCTCGGAGCCTGGAGCCTGCTTCGGATTCTGTGCCTCCCTCTCTGCCCCTCCCCTGCTTGTGCTCTGTCTCTGTCTCTCTCCGAAAAATAAACAAACATTAAAAAAAGAGAGAGAGAGAGCATAAGGGAATTTCACCCCGATTCAGGTAATTATTCCTGAAGACTTAATTATCACTTAAGATTTAAGACTGTTTATGAAGCAGTACAGTGAGTATTCTGTTATGGAAATGATGAGTATATGCTTCTGGGATGAATGTAAAAGTCAACTCGCCCAGTGGTATTTGAATAATTGTGGGTAGGAATATGGTTTCCGAGGACAGACTGACATTTCTGGCTACAGATTCCAAAAGTGCTCTATCTCAAAACAATGTGGCTCAGGAGGAGAGATGAACTCTGGCCATAACCAGGACAATGACATGGAAAACGTGCGTGAAAAGTTCAAATAAAGATTTCATGAAATGGGAGATCAGAGGGAAAAAAAGAACTGCCCCTTAAAGTAATGTATTACTTTTACATGACTTTAAATATGTACATGTAATTAAAGTATGGTAAGTATTAGACATCCCTAAAAGCTTATGTACTCAAGGGGCGCCTGGGTGGCTTAGTCGGTTAAGCGTCCGACTTTCGCTTAGGTCATGATCTCGCGGTTTGTGGGTTCGAGCCCCGCGTCGGGCTCTGTGCTGACTGCCAGCTCAGAGCCTGGAGCTTGTTTCGGTCTGTGACTCCCTCTCTCTGACCCTCCCCTGCTCACACTGTCTCTCTGTCTCCTAGAAATAAATAAAACATTAAAAAAAAAAAAAAAAAAGCTTATGTACTCAAATTAAATGAAATACTTGGGAAAAAATTAATTCTCATTGGGAAATTGGAGGACAGCTTCATATTTTGGGGCCGGGCCTGAGACGCTGTCCTTAAAAGACTTGCTTGCAAGGTTGGCCTTTGGCCAGCATCTGGGAACTCAGATTTTGGGAGGGTTTCCTCCCTTCCTCCTCCTTCCTCTCCTTATTTCTTATTCCCTGATAAGAATGGCTCATTGTGCCTAACTGTGTAAAACAGTATGGTTTAGGCTGATCCCCTACATTCCTTCAGGGAATCTGGAATTTTGATATATCACTGGCAGAGGGGGCCTATGTGACCAGATCCCAATGAAACCCCAGGCACTGAGTCTCCAATGAGCTTCCCTGATAGAGACAACATTTCGCATGGGCTGTCACAAACTGTTGCCTTGCTGTGTGACCCTCCTGGGAGAAGACTCTTGCAAGCTTGCAGCTGGCTTCCTCCAGACTTTGCCTCAGAAGCCTTCTGCCTTTGCTGATCTTGCTTGGTAAAATAAGTTACAATAAGTCATAGCTGTGAAGGCAACTAGATATTCTGTGAGTCCTTCTAGGGAATCACCAAACCTGGGGGAGGGGGTGTCTTGAGGGCCCTCAGCACACTATATTTAGCCTCACCTCATATTTAGATTTATACACTACATGGTGGGGGGAGGGTTGCTTATAAGAGAACTGCCCCTTTGAGAAACTAATAGCAGTAAAATCAACCCTGCATGGACTCCAGGAGCCCAGCCCACTAACTTATCTCGGGCTCCCTGGTTTTCCAACTGGTCATTCCAGTTAACAAAATACTCAACCATTCAGGGGACCCTACAAGTGGAACCTCCATTCCCAAAAGGATTCTCCGATTAGAATAAGGCATTTCTGAGAGAATATGTTCTCTCTCTTGGGACATCTCATGCGTTTTTCTGCCTGGCCTGCAGAGGTAAGATTTCTCTACATAAGGAAAACATACAACAAAATTAGAGCAAAAGATAGTAGCCTAGCCTCTCATCTACAGAAACAGAAAATAAATACCGTATAAACCATGTAGTTCATCAAGTAATCAATTTTAGTTCTTTTGAATCTGGTTTTCCCACTATTTTTCATGATTTTCGTGTCAGCACCTAAAAATGGAAAATTGAAGACAATCAATAGTTGGGAAAATCAATGCTGCCTTTCATTCCGACAGAGGATGAACAGAAGAGCAATCCCTTCCTTTAATTTTAAAAGCACACATCAGGCGTGCCTGGGTGGCTCAGTTGGGTGAGCGCCGACTTCAGCTCAGGTCATGATCTCATGGTTCGTGAGTTCAAGCCCCCCATGTCAGGCTCTGTGCTGACAGCTTAGAGCCTGGAGCCTGCTTCAGATTCTGTGTCTCCCTCACTCTCTGCCCCTCCCCTGCTTGTACTCTGTTTTTCTCTCTCTCAAAATAAACAAAAAAAATCTTAAAAGCACCTATCAGATCAATTTCCCAAGAAACCCTGAAATTACCTGCAAAAACGACCAACCCATGGCAGAAGTCAGTGTTCCTAATTACACAGCCACGTAATAAAATTTTATCAGCATCCAAAGGAAAACTCATGTTTCTCCAAAACAGTGTTCCTGTAAACTTATCCAGTCGGTTATTGGGTTCCTCACATTCAATAAAACCTTCAGAAAAATATGATTCACATAAGTATTCACATATGAAAGATTTTCTGGTTTTAGTTAATTGGGACTGAGTTGGACAACTAAAATTTAATAAAAAGTAAGACATGTTTGCACCAACCATCAAATGTCGCCAGTGAATTTTCTCTCTGGAGATGCTGGTGTGTGATTTCAAGTGCCATTTTGAACTTGAGATTGGTTTCTCTAAAGGAGGGGGGGAAAAGGAATTAAATGAACAAAGTCTGGATCTCAAAAAGGAATATAAAAAAAACTGTGCAAAGTAACGTTAGGTAGACCTGGAAACAGAAGCTAGATCATTAGCTTTTCCTATTTTCAAACTTTCAGTTTGCCTTGGAACTTCCAAGTTCAGTGAGGTTATTTCCCAAACTACAGAAAAACTTCTGACTTGGGAGATGTTGGTCCCATTTGCTATTATTGGGACAGAGGCATTTACAAGCATCCTGTCCTCCTTCTTACTAATTTACCTCTTACCTCCAGTCTAGACTTAAATACCACACCGCTATTAAAAACCTTAGCTTCTAGGGGTCCCTGAGTGGTTCAGTTGGTTAAGCCTCTGACTCTTGATTTCAGCTCAGGTCGTGATCTCAAGGTTGTGAAATCAAGCCCCACATCAGGCTGAGTGTATTGGGATGCTCTGCCTCTCCTGCTGCCCCTCCACCATTCATGCACGGGTGCTCGCTTTCTCTTTCAAAATAAAGAAATTTTTAAAAAAATTTAGCTCCTAATATTAAATCACATTAAGATGATTCTACAAGACATATTTGTTACAGAAAGTGCTTGGACTCTGTCAATCTGTTGCTTTCCAGAGTGAACGACTGGCTCTCAAATTTTTGAAAGATAATTCTATTTAGGAAATGAGGAAAGGAGGTGGGAACCTTACCTCCTAATACTTGGCACACCCCACCCACAGAGCAGGGAAGGCCTGTGCTCAAGGACACACAGAGCCAGGCTGGGCACCTGGGCTCTGGACGGCCATGCTGCTCACACATGACACACAGCCTTCTGCAGGCTCCACGAATATGAACTCCGGGATGTCCACATATTCAGAAGTTGACCTGCGGCCCTCAACGTCCCCATTCAGTTTCTGTCCCGAAAGGGCATGTAGGATATGCTACCTTTGGAAAGCTTTCAAGTCTCTCACTCACAGGAATGGAATAATAGCCGTTTTTTAGGGAACACTGATCAACTGATTGATTTATAGACCAAAGACAGGCCTGGTTTTACAGAGATGGTCTCAGCGCTCCATAAAGGAGTTAGGCGCACCTAGGGAGTGACGGAGGGTGCTCATATCAGTGGGGGAGATGCAGACATAAGCCTGGAGAGCCAGCACCGGCGAGCAGCGTCCCAGGCCTGCCACTTACTGAGTGACCTCGGGCAAGCTACTTCACCTCCTTGAGCCTCACTTTCCTCATGGGCAATGTCAAGGTAATAATCTCATAGCATCGCTGAGAAGATGAAACGAGCCAGTATATAAAGCTAATGCAACTTAGCAGGCGCTCAAGGAATGTATTCAAAACTGATCAAAAACAGAACATTATTGTCTGTTAAGTGGTAGCATAGAAATCAGAGCCAACAAAGGGAAAATTCAAAATTGTTGACAAATACCTTAAAATATCTGTTTTTTCTGAAACTCATTATATCAATCGACATTCATAGGTGTCCGGACACTGCTCAGCTGTATACAAAGGGCTCAGGAGTCCATCCTTTTACCTTCCTTAAAGGTGGGGGGAAGGGCAGTTTTGAAAGCCCCACTTTACAGATGGAATTGAAGAAAGAGAGGTTGGTCTGCTAGGGACACTGCTGGACAGCCAGCTAGTAGTAGAGGCGAGGCTAGATCTCAGGGCTTCTTCAGATGCAATTTTCAACAGAATGGATGTGCCTTTAACAGTCAGCCTTAAAACAGGACCAGCAAAGACCCACTTACCCATCCAGTTCAGCTGTTTCAACATAGCAGAGGCTGTTGGGCTCAGAGCTGGACAGAAGCAGGATGTCAGCCTGTGAAAACAAGGCACATCAATAACACAGAGATTCCCCAAGGCAAAGCTGAGCGCCCGGGAAAGACAGAAGGAGAGGAGAGAGGGACGTGGGGCTTATTCACTTACGGGAATAAAATCATTTTTTCTCAGCCGAATGACATCTCCAACTTGAATCTCTTTCCACTTGGCAATTTTGAACCTGAATATCAAAAATAATGACAGTTTACTGGCCTTTTAAAAGTTACTGGCAAAGGATTTGGGACTATTCTTTCTAGGAGCCAAAGATTTCTGGGAAAACGTGAATAGCACAGAAAAAAACGTTTCCTAAAAGTTCAGCCATTTAATGATGAAACCACATGAGGTGGTCATACGGATCACAGTGTCCTCTGAAGGAAGCGGTGAGGCCGGTAACGATTTTGAGGTGTTCTTTCCATCCGACGTCATGTAACGAAGGCTACTTAGACGTGTGGCAAGGAGATACTTGGCTCCTCTGTTTTTGCTCACGCCCCGTGCTTCCACTCTCCTGTTCTCTAGCCTCTGGGTTACCCACCACCTGCTTAGGATGCGGGTCCCAGGTGGCCCCAGAACAGGAATGGATCCTGGCTTCCGCACAGGCCACCCGGATTCCTCAGGGAACTTTACAGCCTGTCTCCTTCCTATTAAGTTCCCTTTTCAACGAGCATGGATTGCTTTTATAATAAGTCTAATAAGGACATTGAGAAAATGCAAAATAAAAAGAACTATTTTTCCATCTTAAATTTCACAGGAAATACCCATTTAAATGTCTAACAAATCATCATTTAAAAAAGTTGTAAAATACAGCAGTCTGTTTTAAAATTTTTCACGCATAGCAAAGATATCCATAATACAGATTATGACTCTATCACAACTAATAAACTTAATATTTGTTGGAGGCAGAACTCCAGTGACCGTGTCTGTCCTCACATTAATTCATGCATAAGAGACCTGGGGATTTAAATACAGTTTTGTTTTTCTTCTAAAATACATTTTAAGCAAATGCTTACACCCCAGTGTGACCTATTTTATTAGACTCTAATACACAATTCTTAATCTCGGGATTTTAAAAAAGAATTTGGCTTATCTTTCAATAAATTAAATTGTAGTTAGTTTACATTTCAGTATCTCTAAAGCTGTAAATGAGAATTTGCATATGGGTGTCAAATTATAAATGAACAAAAAAGAACCTTCTTGCCGCAGCTCTTTGGGGGTATTAGTGACCATTCTGTTGGACTTTTCCAGCGGGACATCTGGTTTCCCCTTGGGAGGTCCCGCTGCCCTGGCCCTCAATGCCCAAGTCCCCACACAGGCTTGACCTTCCTCTAGGGGGAGCCAGAGCCCTGGCCCTCTCAGGTATGCACTCTGACCCCCAGATTCAAGGCCACCCAGAACTACTCTTTACCAGTAGAGTTAGCCAGGTTGTGGGCTATTGCCAGAGTTGTGCAGGCAGGCTAAGAATCTTACTGCTCTTCATTAGAACACTGCTAAGTGATTTGAAAAGTAACCTTCAGAACAGAATCCATTTATTTGAAACGGGGAAAAAAAAAAGCCATCCCAAAAGATTTATAGACTAACACAGTCCATATCCAAATTAGACATAGTGGAACGGTGCCTGTAAGTCACCTTATTTTTCTCAGTGTTGACACATAAAAAGTCTTTGAATTGGGCTTTCACCACTATTTTTTTTTCTTTTTTAGTGAGGTATAATTGACATACAATCTCCTACAGTTTCAGGTGGACATCGCAGTGATTCGTCATTTTCTTAGCCTATTTTGAGCACTTGACTGTGGTTCTGCCTCTAGGCGCCTGCTCAAAAAAACGACTCATTACTGGTCTGTTAATCGGCACGTTGGTCACAGTGGACAATATTTATTTAACATTTATTGAACACTTTCTGTGTGTTGGAGGCTCTGACGGACAAAGAACAACCAGACACCATCAAGACAGTCTCCCTGAGAAACGTATAGTTCAGGACAGAAGAGGAGACCCCTACTCAAATAATTCTAATAACAGGTCAGAATAAGAAGGATGAAAGCAACACACTCTTGACTGCACAGGGAAGGGAGAAATCACTTTAGCTGGAGAATCTGGAAAGGGGGTCAAGACATTTGAGCAAAGCCCTGAACACATAAGTTGGGAACAGCAGTGATGGGGTTCCCAGACCGAAGGACACATGTAAACGCGTTAGTGCGAATGCCACAGCGCTCAACAGATGAGTGCCTGCATCCCAATTTGGCTGCAGTCCCCGGGTCGCGAGGAGGGTACCAAATCTTAGTAAGTTAAGAGAGACCCTTCCAGTGAAGGCTGCTGAGTCAAAAGACTTCTAAGTTTGGAATGGCTATTTCTGACTATGTTTCTAGACAGACTTATGTATTCCGTTCTTGAAACTAAGTTAAAATTAAGGACAACACAGTACCTGCCGTCCTTAATGACCTCACACGTCCTATTGTTGACTTCATTATCCATTTTATGGCGAGCCTTTAGAAGAGAAGAGGGCAAAGGTTACTTTAATATTCTCAAAACACAAGGTATTAACACCAAAGTGAAATAAGCGCACAGCAGTGTGGAGAAAGCTGCGTGAGACATCCTTACCACGTCGTCTACCAGGTCTTTGATGGCCGTGATGCCCAGCACCAAGAGCAAGGGCACCAGGGTGGTGTACCATGCCAGGGTCGTGATCTGAGGAATTGCCTGAAAGAAATACAAGGTAGATGTGTGTGCCCACAAAGGCGTGGCTTCTACCGGTAACGGCGAATTCCAACCTCCCAGCCTACGTCCCTGCAGACCATGTGGGAAAGTCATCTAAGCCTCCAGCCAACCACCTTCTTGCCACCCTCAGTGGTTTATGGCCTTCTGGAAGAGACCCCAGAGAACAGTGGCTCCTGAAATTGTTTCATTGAGACCTTAACTGGACATCAGGGGGGCTAAAAGAGACCTGCCCCAAACTTTTTGGGAAAATCATAACTAACGGGGAGGGGTGTTGTGGGGAGCTGGTACAAGTAGTCCTTTGATCTCATGGGGACATGCATGTAGCAGGCTCTCCACTGCCAGTTCCTTGGCCAGGGGTCTCTGGGGGTCTCAGGATGGAGGCAAGGACGGCAGTAGGTAGTAGCCGCCTCTGAAAGCCAGGATTGCGTTGGGCCTCAGACAAAGCCCTGCCTCCATTAAGACAGCTTTCAAGTTGGAACAAAAGATTGGGAAGCAAATTTAGTAAAGATCTCTTATAAGTGTCTCTGCATCATCAGTGTAGTCATTAAAACGACAGGCTTTGCGGTGAAGGTCCTGGATCCAAGTCCCGCCCCGTTCTCTCACTTAGGGCTTTGGGACTTTGAACAAGTTCCTGCACCTCACCAGGCCTCAGCTTCTCTAAAAATGGAGGTTATGAAAGCACTTACATCACAAAGTACAAGAATTAAGTAACGTAACAAGGAAACGGCTATCTGAAGCTATTACTATCACTAACTCAAATTGCTAGATCTTAAGAGAAGATGATTGAGTGTTGGTTGCCACATAATTATCAATGTTCCCACCTTCCCCATTTCCTTGCTAGAAGGAAATAAGGGAAGAATGGCAGTACCTTCAAATTTTAGCATTTGTCTCCACGTGAGCCGGTTTCAAAGGTCCCTCTTGATAACAGGACCATTCTATACTATCAAGCTAGTAGATCGCATATCCTACTAAATCTATTGGGTATCCATTTCTCCCTCGTGTTTCCTCACCACTCCCTGCACCTTCCATCCCCACCTGGACACACACACATGTACCCATTTTCATGAAACTCTCGTCAGTGAATCCCAGCAGATGAGACGGTTTCCTAAATCCAATGCTTGATGTAAAGAATTTGATAAAACCAAGTGGCTACACTATCCTTTGTCGCCTGCACCTCAGTGCTAAAGGTTGATAATCCGGTAACTAGAGGGTGTAGAGTTCCTTTGATTATAACAACGATTTCTAGATAGGCAAAATTAACACTCTAGATAAGCGAATCCATTGCCACAATCAAGAAGAAAACAACTCAGGAAAAGAATAGGCCTTATGTCAACATGAAATCCAGTTCACAAAAATAATTTGAGAATTATGACCAATATATTAATACAAATAAATAATATTTAATACAAAATTAAATATATTAATACAAATAAAAAAATTAAGCATCTACATGAAAAACAAAGGGCAAGCACACAATAAATGGAATTGTAAGGTACAGATACTTTTACAATGGGAAGATTTTAATTGTATTCACTTCAGGGAAGCCAGTTTTAACATTCACATTAGCACGCAACTGAGGTTTTTTAAATATAGAATTAAACGCTTTCCATTTGCTTCCTTTCCCTTTTCATTTAACACGATCAAACTGGTTCTGTATGAGGCACTCTTTCCTTACGTGCAAAAATCCTGATGTTAATACAACAATTTCAAGGTTACATGTGTCCACAGCTTAAATGTTACTGAGTCATCATAACTCAACCCAGATTTAAGATATCAAAGGGCATTACCTGTAAGATAAGAAGGACCAGGAAATAGAAATTGGCTGCTCTCTTAAACTGCTCAAACAAATTCATCGGTAGAAAGGTAAAGGCATTATACTTGTATGTTTTAATTGCATTACTCTGTTGGGGAAAAAAAAAAGTGAGAGAGTCATTCTACATGGGGCACACTTTTACCCCTGATGTATATACACCTGCGGAAATCACTAAAGCCTGATGGCCTACGGGGACACAGGGACATGGGCCAGGAAGACACCGAGATTTCCTTTACGCTTTTAATTCTAATCAGGCCTCCCGATGACTCCTTGGAGGCTCAGGTCAGAGACAGCAACAAGAAGCAGACAATCCACTTCTAAGCTCTCTGTGGCAAATCTGACTGTGAGCAAATGGAGGGTGCTGGCAGATTCCTGGACTCCTCAGAGCCTCTTAGAAAACAGGGCAGGGGCACCCGCGTGGCTCTGTTGGTTAAGCGTCTGACTTCGGCTCAGGTCATGATCTCATGGTTCTTGGGTTCAAGCCCCATGTTGCTCTGTGCTGCCAGCTCAGAGCCTAGAGCCTGCTTTGGATTCTGTATCTCCCTCTCTCTCTGCCCCTCTCCTGCTCTCTCTCTCTCTCAAAATAAATAATAAACATTAAAAAACATTTTTTTAATTTAGAAAGTTAAAATCCACTTACTGCATATTTGCTCTCCTTAATACAAAAAAACTTTGTGTTCATAAATTGAGGCTGTTCATGGAAGCTTCGATCATTTGCCTTGACTTGCCACGTACAATCTTTTAAAAAGAAAGAGACAAGAATCCATCAAGAGGGAGTTTAGCACATTGTTGGGAGCTGAACCGCATCCTTCCCTCGTTTATCCGGTAAAGTCCAAACTCCCACTCCATGCCCCACAATTTAACTTTATTTGGAAACAGGTGACTGCAGATGTAATTGAGTTAAAGCGAGGTCGTTAGAGTTGATCCCAACCCCATAAGGCGATGGCCTTCTTAAAAATATAAAAGCAGATTTGTACATGGGTATGAACAGTGGGGAGCTGGCGTGAAATCACAGGGAAAACATGGGCACCTACAAGCCAAGGACAAAGGCCTGGAACAGACCCTTCCCTCACAGCCTCAGTGGGAACCAGTCTTGCCCACACCTTGACCTCAGATTTCCAGTCTCCAAGTCTGTGAGACAGTCAGGCTCCGCTGTGGAAGCTACCCAGTTTGTGCCACTGTGACGGCAGCCCTAGCCGATGAACGGACATACCGTAATTCCTAGAATGTTCATGGGACGTTGGCGTTCTAAAAGAGTAATCCTCATTTAAACATGGCGCAAACAAAATCCCAGAACCCACCGAAGGTCACAGCTAAATTATTTTTTCCACTCATGTACTTGCTTTGTAAAATTTGTAGCCCATGAAATACTGAGTGAATAAATCAAAGAAAAAGGACATCATCAACTAATTCAACACTTTTTACTAAGTCTTGACCACAGATCAGTGTGCACTGCTTGTTAAAAAAAATTTTTTTTTTTACATTTTTTATTTATTTTTGAAAGACAGAGTGAGACAGAGCATTAACTGGGGAGGGGCAGAGAGAGAAGGAGACACAGAATCCGAAACAGGCTCCAGGCTCTGAGCTAGCTGTCAGCACAGAACTTGACGCGGGGCTCGAACCCATGAACTGTGAGATCATGACCTGAGCTGAAGTCGGCCGCTCAACCGACTGAGCCATTCAAGAGCCCCAGTGTGCACTGCTTTACCTCATGTGCTTAATGTCACATACAAGGCACCAAGCAGACCCAGGCCATTCAACAGATGTGTCTAAATTCCAAGGAACCTGAGAAAGTTCACAGCCTCTCTACTGCCCGGGGAACATTCCTCACCGAACAGGGGTCCCATGAAACACTTCTCCCAATCCCGCCCCCCTGCCTGCACTAACTCTTTCTGACTTGACTCTCCTTGGGCGTAGTTTACTCCACACTTGCTGGCAGATGTTGCCTACTGGTTTAACAGAGCAATTCCCAACTCTGTGAGGATCACATCCTTCCTACTTCCCCCCCGTAACCAACCACAGTCCTAACATCTGTGCTTGTCACCCCCTTGTTTTCCTGTACAGGTTTATCAAGTATGTATCCCCCCAAATAAGTTATTCAGGCCAGTTTTGAGCTATATCACTTGCATGCTTCTGTGAAATGCTTTTCTACTCTCAACACTATATGAGTTTCATCTACACTAATGTCATGTAGCAGAAAATATACTATTCGTTGCTGCTGTTTTCTACTGTCATGCATATACCACAATTTCTCGATTCTTCTGTTGGTGAGTAGTTTGGGTGTTTCTAGCACCTTACTATTATTATAAATCATTTTGCTATAAACATTCTCAGATTGTCTTCTGGAAGTCATAAGATTTTTTTTCCAGGTATCGCCTTAGGAGTGGAAAGTGTGGGTGATGACTTTTCTCTTCTACTTGCCCACAAACTTCCCGTACCCCTCCTCCTTCTCTTGACTGTCCCTTGAAAGGACAGGAGTCCAGTCTATGTTCCGGAACCCTTGGGCAAGGCAGAGAAAGAAGAAGAGGAGAGAGAGGTGGTGATGGTAGGACTTCAGCTACGGCATTCTGGAACCAGGCAGGAAGGCGTGAAGCAAGGTGGCAGCCTCCTGCTGGCTCTGAGGAGCATGAGCATGAGGTGGGGGTCTTCTGACCGAACACCGGGGACTCGAGCTACACCATGGTGACACCATGCCATCAGTCCGCTGTGAGATTACCACTAGGCTGTGGGAAGTAGAGATTCGAACAAAAGATCTGTTCCATCCTGAGGATGTTTATCTAAACTGCAGAAAGGCAAGCTAGAAGGGTCTCCAGGAACTCTTCTCCGAGCCTGGGCCCCCACAGTACCTTGCTCCTCCGTCTCCTTTTGAATGAGACTCAAGTTGACAGTCCCCTTGCTCCCCAAACCCAGCCCCTGGCTACCCTCTGCTGTCTCCACAGTGGTTTCCATGTTCCTCCCTCAACAGCCCGAGACACAGCACCCACCTCTCTGTCTCACGGTGGGACCACTGCTTTGTGGTAGAGCTGGCGCTAATGTTGCTCAATGAAGAGCCAACCCAGTGGCTCTTACTTCCAGAATGAGCAGGAGAAGGGCTCCTCCCTGATTTGTGAAATATCTTGGAATCCCTTGTGGTGGGGTTGTAGCTGCTGCTTCCTGGGCTGCTCCAGACTTCTTTCTTTTTGTCGTCTCTAGTGGCTCCACAGCTGGCCGAAGATTCACTGGAGGTGGATTTCTGAGTTGACCTGTCACCCCTGTCTTACAGCAATTGTCATCCACCCCGTGGTGATAGGAATTCCTCCTCCTGGGTTTGGTCCTCCCTTCTTTCCTTCCGAGCTTTAGCACGGAGCTTGGAGGCTCCTTGGATTCCATCCTGTCCACTTATGTAGCCTTCACTCTGCAAGGCTGAAATGACGGTCCCACTACTGCATTAGCGGCTTTGGCAGCAGGCCTGCGGGAAGCCTCTGGGCCTGCAATGACCACACTGTCCGGGGACAGCCCGGGGCCTCCCATGACATGCTGAATGTACCCCCGGAGGGTACACTTGCCGACCTTCTGAATGAATAGAGAAGGTAAAGCTCACGAGGTGAGGTCTAATTTATCTCTGGCTCCAGTCCTTTCTATCTCAATGGATCACCTATTGATGGAGCCCAGCACCTCATGGGAATTTCAGCTAAAGGGACCTTTCTAACACAGAGATGATGAACCTGGCCATCAGGCTGCCTCCGCAGAGGAAAAATATTTCCACCCACCTGGTTTGTCTTTGCCCATCTACTCCTGAGGTCCTCGGTCCCATGATGTATAGGTCGGTTGCTAACATGGGCTCAGGGCTTAGTATGTGTAAGGAAAGTATCAGGCCAAGCAGTCCAGCTACTCTGTCCACTTTGCTGTACCGACTGGGCCTTCTTTTGTGACCTCTGCTCCCAACCGCCCTGAGAACTCTGCCCATGAGCTGATGTCAGATGGTTGCTTATGAGCGTAGAGTTGACCTTTCCACCAGGAAAGGTAGAAGCCAAATATCAGATTGTGCTCGGTTTCCGAACAGGAAGGCACAGGCATAAGCCTGCCGCTGCTATGAAGGCTCAGAACAGGATGCTGTCAGCCGGGGAGAAAGGTTGAGGAGGCACTTTTTTTACACCAGGTTCTCAAGCGACTTGTGTTTGAATGTGTACGCTACATGAACCTCCCTGTGGGTTATAATTGCGTGGGCAAACCCAGTTCTGATGAACCGCGCCCCCCCCCCCCCCCCCCCCCCCCCCCCCCCCCCCCGCAAAATGGCCACGGAAGGAAATTAACAACTAGTGGGACTCAACCAGTTTGGGAGACGGGAATATATTAAAAAAACACTTTCAAGTAAACAATGCTAAAAGTATCCATCTTATATAATTATCACAATAAAGACATACTTTTGAAAATATTGTGTTTCAGTTTTTCAAATGATTCATTTTCTAGACTTCTTCCCCACAGAAAGTACAGATAATTTTGCAAAAGGGACAAGCGTGGGCTACTGAAGAATGCAAATAATTAACCTTGTTACTTTTTTAAACACCACAATGCCGTTACTGAAAATTCCTCTTGCATCATTTTGGTTGCCCTTCATGGGGCAATCGTAATGATCATGTCATTACAAATACAGCTGCTCCCAGCACCCCTGTAGTTAAAGTGCGATTTTACCAAATGGGAAAATTAAACTGGAACTGTAAGACAATTCATAAGCACCATCGCAGTGTGTGTGATATATTACATAATCAGAAATATAACGTATACAATCACAAACATTTCTTTTCCACTCAAATAGGACACCTAAATAAAAGCAGGTAAAAGAGATATTTTATGGGATCATCTTGAATCCATTCTGTGTTATGGTGATTTGAAAATGCATGTGCCTTTAACGGTTTACTTTAGCGTGCTGACAACTTACGAACACCTCCAGTCACCAGCCTTCCAGAACTTCACTGAGTTTCTGTTCTAAAATTCAGGAAGGCTGAGAAGAAAAATGGACAGGATTCTTCAAGAATCAAGAAAAGGCCAAGGAGGGGCGTCTGGGTGGCTCAGTCAATTAAGTGTCCAACTTCGGCTCAGGTCATGATCTCACAGTTCATGGATTCGAGCCCCATATCGGGCTCTGTGCTGACAGCTCAGAGCCTGGAGCCTGCTTTGGAATCTGTATCTGCCTCTCTCTGACCCTCCCCTGATCATGCTGTCTCTCTCTCTCTCAGAAATAATAAATAAAACATGGAAAAAAAATTAAAAATTAAAAAATAAAGGCCAAGGGGAAGGGATAAAAATCGCTCTCAGAAAAGCTCAACAGGGAAGAGTAAGCCGCCCTTGTAATGAGCTGGATTCTTTCATCCCCTTCATGGCTCTTTAAATTTTGCTCAGCGTTAAACCCCCTCCCCACGTAACCTTCCCCCTCCCACCAGCCACTGGCTCCTCTGTCTGTCCCAGCACTATGCCTCATCCCCAGCCCATTTTGATGTGGATGCCTCCAACACAAAGCAGTGTTTGACCTCAAGCAGGGCCAATGAAGGGTCTACCGGAAATGACCTTAGTCTCTTAATTTTATGCTTTTGATAGCACCTTGGGGAGATAGGAGAAAGTAACCAAGGTATCCTCATCTGCAACATATTGAGCTTAACCACAGGAGTTTTCTAGTTAATTTTAGAAATCTGATTGTAGTCAAATAGTCAATAACCCTATTTCCAACAAGGTTCCTTGTCTGACATAATTCAGACAAATCA